GGAGGAATCCCTCAGTTAACCTAGCCAGGAATGGCAACTCCAGACATTATGATCACAGTAACTAGGTTACAAAGTTAGTAACAGAAAAGCTATTCCCAGGAGCAATGGTTCCAAACTGAACTCTGGAACCACATTCATTATAGAACTCTAAGGAATGTAAATCTTCAAACTTTCAAACCCTCTCCTTTCTTCAGCGTACTACGGTATATAATTTAAACTCAGCAATGGACCAAATTAAATATGATGTTTTGGATGCTCCAAACAAAAGAGCTAGCATTCAACCTGTGTCCATTAGTGGTTTATAAGATAAGCCACCTCTTTCTTGATTATATTGACTGATGGGAAAGATGAGGCATCTTCACAGTCAACAGTCTGCCTGACACTTTAATGTAAACACATACGTTTAGGTTTATTCGATTTCTTAGGCACCCTTTTTTGAAAAAAAAAAGGGGGGAAAGATGCAAGGCATGTTACAGTAAATAAAATACACAAAAGTAAAAACAAGAACAGTGCAACACCCATAATGTACGAAAACCACACTATCTCCCCACCCCCAAGTGAGAAATTACCGGGAATAATCCAGTCAGGGTTCTGGATTGCAGCCTGAAACATTTTAAAACTGGCTTATGTTATGGTTCAAGCAGGATAAAAATAACTTACTTAGATTGTTACTTGTCTGAAGTATGACCTTGCCTACAAAGGTAGACAGGTCCCAATGAAAGACTGAACAGAAATCAGTGGTGTTTCCATCTTACAGCAGTGGACAAAATTGTGACCCACAACAATTTATTCCAAATCCTCAACAAATCATGAATGAAGAAGCCATTTTAGGTTCATGAGGACCAGGTGTGCAACCTGGGGGTCATTTTGCATTCACAGCTGCCCATGGAGGCACAGGTTAATTCCGTGTCCAGGGCAGCTGTCTACCAGCTCTACCTGTTACACAGGCGGAGACCCTACCTGCCTGCGCACTGTCATGCCAGAGTGGTGCATGCTCAGGTTATCTCCCGCTTGGACTACTGCAACGCGCTCTACGTGGGGCTATCTTTGAAGGTGACTCGGAAACTACAACTAATCTAGAATACGGCAGCTAGACTGGTGACTGGGAGCAGCCACTAGGAAAATATAACACCAGTCCTAAAGGATTTACGCTGGCTCCCAGTACATTTCCGAGCACAATTCAAAGTGTTGGCGCTGACCTTTAAAGCCCCAAATGACCTTGGTCATGTATACCCAAATGAGTGCCCTCACCCCCATCATTCAGCCCAGACACTGAGGTCCAGCTTCAAGGGCCTTCTGGCAGTTTCCTCATTGCAAGAAGTGAGGTTACAGGGAACCAGGCAGCGGCAGCGGGCCCCTGGTAGTGGGGCTCGCACTGTGGAACACCTTCTCATCAGATGTTGAGATAAATAACTATACAACTTTTAGAAGACATCTGAAGGCAGCCCTGTATAGGGAAGCTTTTTATGTTTGATATATCTGTTTTTATGTCTCTTGGAAGCTCCCCAGAGTGGCTGGGGCAACTCAGTCAAATGGGTACAGTACAAATAATAAAATTATCATCATTATTATTAGGGAAACTTCTATTGACCATTGAAAGCACAAGTTCTGTTAGAGTATAATTTCTACAGTACATACTCCGATTGTCAATTTCTAAAACAAGCAGTTTTGTTACTAATCTTCCTGCTTGATAAGCAGCATTATTATTTTGGAAACGACACTCTTATTAAAGCACAAAAGGGGGTATGGAATTGTTTTCTGCAATGGTTGTGTTTGCTCCTTAATGCACTGTGGGTATTATCTGCTTTATCACACAAGTATTTTTAAAAGATGGATACAGTATTCAGCTGAAAGGCTCTTAGACCCAGTGAAGCTTTTTAGCAGAACAGGGATCACAGGGATTTCTTCTTCCCCTGCCTGCCCCTTCAGAACAGCATGAGGAGCTGAAGGAGAGAGCGGGAAATCACCAATCATTGCCTGCATACTTGCTCCACTGAATCAATAGCCTCTTATCAGAGGACCCCCAAATCGATATATTCAGATCCCTTTCCCCCTTATAAGCATGTGACTTGATTTCTTGTGATGTATGCAATCCCAGCTGTGATGCTGTGGTGCTGTCAAACATGGTACCTTCATTTTGAGAGGTAGGTTTTGTTCAAGTCACCACTTCAACAATGGGATTTCTTGTTTTAATGAGAAACAAATGCAATTACCATGGTTAATTACCCATGGTTTAATTTGGGAAGCCGCAGGCAAGTAAATTATTATATTTGAAACTCCCAATTCTCATTCAAACTGCGGGTTCCTGTTTCATGGGGCTGTAGAACTTGTGAAGCAGTGTGGATGGGTATTATAGGTGTGATAAACAGGAACATTTTCCATGTGCCTAGCCCAGCGAGAGTAGCCAGTTGGCATTTTTCACCATACTGAAGCTCGGTCAGCTTTTAAAAGGACAGAAATTCCCAGAATAGTGTTGCTGAGTGAATAACTTCTCAAAAGTGGCTTGGCTTTCCTACAATGTTAGTTCTAAAACACACTTTTCATTGCAGCCAATTTATAGATTGTGACTCATCTGCCCTAATGTCATTGACCAGACACAATCTTTGTCAGACTGAGCAAACGAGGGGGGTTGGGAGCAAGCAAGTAATTTCCTTGGCTTCCTTTTTCTCCCAGCGTGGGATCTTTTTTCCAAGCCTACGTTTATAGTACATGACCATTCTCGTAAACAACTCTTATGTTCCAGGCAACCAAAAAAGGAAGAAAAAGGCTGGTTGTACCAACGGATGCTTTACAGGCCAAGTCCAGCTCCCTGAAACGGTCGAAACTCTTGTTGTGACTGAACCAGCAGCTTAGAGCTTAGACAAACACACACATGTATTGCTTATTTGTACTATGTTTTAGCTCAGATATTCTTTGCCTGATGTGTAACGATGTTAGAAAAAGATGCTTAAACAGAAATAAACATGATCTTAAAAATCTGCAAAGAAGTCTAATGCAGCTTAAAGATAGCTACATTCATCACCCCAATAAAGTGAGGCATCCATGTTTACATGCCATCCATGCACAAGCTTTAGCTCTAGCAACCAAAGGGAAACTGCCAAGCCTCTGAGCCTCAGGGAGGACTAGCACTAAATCAAGGGCAACAATCATAAAACAACTCAGAATACGTCCCCAAAGTCTGCTTTGGAAAGATTAAGTGGCATGGGGTGGCATGGGATCTGCCAAATGGATTTATAATCCAGCGTTTTCTTCACAGAAAACCCATGCGTTACAGCACAATCCTTTACTTGTGCACTCAGAAGCCATTGAGTTCAATGGGGCTTTCTCTTAGATAGGTATATGATTACATCCTTAAGTAACTTATCCCCATTTTACAAGGTTTCACAATCTGCAATATTTAGTAAAATATTAAGATACTAAATACAGATAGTAAAATAACATCTGTATATTTAAAAGAGCAGATCAATCACCAGAATCTATTCTACAGGGCTGGCTAACATAAGAGTAACCAAGATTCCTAAACCTAACAGCTCCATAAAAAATAAAAAAAACTCGTATGGCTGATAAACACAGCACACACCTCAATTATGTCTGTTCTGGGACCCTGCTCTCAATCTTTGGGCATTCCCAATAATCCCTGCTTTTACCCACGCGGGTGGCGCTGTGGGTAAAACCTCAGCGCCTAGGACTTGCCGATCGCATGGTCGGCGGTTCGAATCCCCGCGGCGGGGTGCGCTCCCGTTGTTCGGTCCCAGCGCCTGCCAACCTAGCAGTTCGAAAGCACCCCCGGGTGCAAGTAGATAAATAGGGACCGCTTACCAGTGGGAAGGTAAACAGCGTTCCGTGTGCTGCGCTGGCTCGCCAGATGCAGCTTGTCACGCTGGCCACGTGACCCGGAAGTGTCTGCGGACAGCGCTGGCTCCCGGCCTATAGAGTGAGATGGGTGCACAACCCCAGAGTCTGTCAAGACTGGCCCGTACGGGCAGGGGTACCTTTACCTTTAATAATCCCTGCTAACACGGTTTCTAGAGAAAGGGCATGGCTAAATGATGATTCATCTCCACTTTCCTAACAAACCCCAGTTCCATGGAACCAATTTTAAGAATTTTCAGGGTAGGTTCATATGCTATCACAGTATTCTGCGATGGTATGTTGGTTTTGGTTAGGTCAGGGGTGGAGAACCTTTTTTAGTTCAAGGACCACAATCACTTTGGGGTGGGGGGAAGGACATGAGAGTGATGAATGGGGCCAAATGCAAAAGTGGGTGGAGCAATGCATGCAAATTTTAACTTTGTGCAGTACACATGTTCACACACCTCTTTCTATCCTCCATCCACGGCAAGCAAAAGGCACTGCTGCAGCTCAAAGATATGCATACCAGCAAGTAAAAACACTCAAGGGGTGTGGCCAGAATGTACTTGTGTGGTGTGGAGAGACCTTGAAGAGCCAGACAATAAGACTTGGAGAGCTGTATTTCGTCCCCAGGACTGACGTTAAGCGCTATTTACAGGGAAATGAAGTTGGAATTGGGCCCTGTGTAAAAATATTATTCCTTCCACATGTGGGTTCCACTTCAACCATCTTTCTGCTTAATAAGAGACCTTCAAGGTAGCAAACGATAAGCAAAGGTTAAGGGCACACAAACACCTCCCACACACACTCCAAAAGACAGTTGTGATTGATGAAAGCTCAGATGCTGCAGAAAGATAAGCATGCAAAATACCCGTTTGAGAGGTGTACTTGAAAGTGATGGCCCAAGCAAGCCAGGAGGATGTTACTTCTAATATGCATTCCCATGTGAAGACATCCTATGAAAAATTCCCTCTTAACAGGAGTATTCCATACAAGTATTTGTCTTCTCCAAGAAGCTCTTATTGAATCTGTGTTTGAACAATTTTTCAGTGTTGAAAACTCATCTGTTCGCATTAACATTTGTCCTGTGATATAATTCTGATAAGCTGCTAAACTGATTAATAGATATCAAGTGAGCTACACAAGAGGAAGCTTTACCAGTTTAATAGGATACAAGAATCCAAAATTTAAACAAGAATGTAAGAACGTTTAAAAATCTATCAAACAGATGTTTTCAGCTATTATTTCAAGACAAAAGATCATACAAAAGACATAATTTATCAAGAGAAGAGCAGACATTAACAGCAAACGTTTAAATATAAACAAGCAAATTATTTTCAGATTTCTATAACATAATATCACAGCATAAATAACTAGAAAATGATTACAAATGCCAAAGTGGTGTCTAAAAATTAGTAGCTAGGATTAACTGGTAAAACTTGCATGATAATAGGTCAGCACCGCTAGAAGCCCTTTCTGAAAAAAGATTTGCTTACTCACTAACTTATTTTAGTAATTAATTCTAGGAATAAAATGAAGGCAAAAGACTTGCTTCATGATTTTCACACTCTTTTCTGCCATGCAAAGCTTTCTTTCCTCAATGTCTAGTCAAACACCTTGAGCAAACAAGTCTCATGTCGGTTTAGGAATGTCAGGGATAACTCAGATGTACATCTGAGTATGGATACTATCTACCCATACTCCTTGCTTTCAATGGTATGTGAATCCCCATCTGTTTTCTGGCACAACTAGTCATACATTAAAAAATAATAATCACAAAACAAAAGCTGGACTGGGGTGTTCATGTTCTTTGGAAGTGCAAAGCTATACTTAATGTAGTGCTTGTGTAAAGTGCAAGTTTTCTTCTTAACAGAAATGTGCTGGAGAAATCCACAACCACATAACTTAGTGGAAACTGTTAAAAAGACTTATCAGTTCATGGAAGCCTAATAAGGGTGGGTGTTTAGTGACATCTACAGGAACCTCTGAACAGTTAGCTATTTGTGTTGTGTTGCTTAGAAAACAAGTAGGTTATGGCCCTCTTCTGGTCTCAAAAGAGCATGAAATCCATTGCTTCATTCAAGTTCTTCAGTTTCTGCTGAGAAAAGGTCTGCGAGATCAGCTACTGTTAACACAGAGGCCTCCGACTGCTTCATGGAAGAACTAGAGTGGCTTTGGGGGATGAGGGAACATCGGAGGGGAGAAGGGAAAAATACATTTTAAAATATGAGAAATGTAGCTCGCATCTACATTCATTAAATACAAGAGGCAGCTCTACTAAAGAGGTTTATGTTGCAATGATCATGGTTGGAAAGGAGAGTCTCAAAAGCACAGCACTGGGTTTTTAAGGTGGACCAAGCTGTCTATTTACCTGAAGAAAATAGTCAAAAGTAGGTTTGCAAGGACAAGCTGCTTTGGGAACGGTTTTCTTTCTAAGCCAGTGTTTTGCTTTAGTCATTTTTGTATTATCAAGGTTGACAAAATTAAGTTGTGAAAGTTTTATATGCAAAAGAATTTTATATTCTTTTATTGAAACAGCTTTTGTGTATTTAAAGAACCTTATGAGAGTTGTTATCAACATGCTAGGTTACCTACAAAAGATGGTCAAAAACCAACTTCGATTGCTCTATTATCGTAAAAGCAGACTTACAGAAAAGGCCGATTTGTGCTTGTGAATGGTGAACAGGTAAATAGTTCTCCACCTGTAACAACCTGCGTTGATTTTTTTGCACACTGCTTTGCATGTTACCTGGCAATCTGGGCTCACTATGAATATCAGGCAATACAAAAAAATCAAAGTAAATTCACTCTGTCTTAATTTTGTTTGGAAAAATGTCCCCAAGCTCTTCAGTTCCAGTAGCCTGAAAATAATGCCAATGAGGAGAATAGTTTGAACGTATGTGATGGCAAACCACATCACTAGTTTTGATTCTAGGGCTTTCTATATACATGAAAGATGTGGAAATACATACAAATCAGAAGGACAAACCAGAGAACCATTACCATATGATCAATTTATATCTAAGTGTGCATGCAGTTACTTACTGCCTAGAATTCAAATGTTTGATCCTTAGGCCAGGGGAACTCTTCTGCTGTAGGGGTTTGATTTCCACAATACTTCAAAGGGCTTTATTTTGCTTGGGGAAAGCAATATTCTTTGGGCAACAAGCCCACTTGTTGCATTTGTGAGTACTATGTAGAAATTCGTAATCATTTGTGACTGCAGAAATATCACTTGCATGGTGCCTCCCCTTCTTGCACCATAATACATTTTTGTTAACATTTTTTTCTGGCTTCTAACACCATGCATATCTACTCAGAAGTAAGTCCTACTGAGTTCACTAGGACTTACTTACATAGCAGTAAGTGTCTAGGATTTCAGTTTCTATGTCTGGGGCAGCTGCCCTTGCAAATTTGAATACAAATTTGACAAATGAAATATTGTATAGATAGGCTTTACTTACCTCCTTTCTACAGTTTTCAGCATTGTCTGCATTCTTTCTTCAATTGTTGCTTTGATTAAGAATCTATGAACAATTGTGGGCCTGAATTTTTTTGGGGGAAAGAAAAGACTATTGAGCACACATTGTTACACTTACAGGGATATCCCTTACAAGTTTATGCAGTAGATCACTGTGTTCAATGGGCTTACTCCCTAGAAAGGGAGTTTAGGATTACAGCCTTCAGAGTCTTTATTGTTTACTCTATAATAGCTCCAACAACAAGCATGTGATGTGTATTATAAACCACTTATGTTTCAGAAAATTATAATGTAGCTTTAGGACAATACTGGCTACAGAAATTTTGAGAGGTGTTGGCCAGCCAATGTCATTATGAGATCAGGTTATTGGCAAGTGGTTGGTTCTGCTGGTACTTCCTGTTTCTACTGACCTGCCACTTACTCTCAATTTATTGTCGTACGCTATGTGAAATCCTAACGCTGCATTTAGTTAATTTATTTCATAGAATTCATATACGGCTTAATTGTAGAAAACCTCAGAGTGGTTATACATACACTGCATTAAGTGGCAGTTAGGTGAGCCCAAAACAGTTTTGATCCTTACTTAGTTTGCCCAATGCGATGCACTCTGCCAATGGCCTGTAGCTCATGTGCTGGATTCAAGATAGGTTCTACTAGGAGGACATGTGTTGCCTCAATAATATTCAATCCATTCGAGCCAGTATGGAGAGGCAATAACAATATGTTGATCTTGGGATCATACTTAAATGCAGATAGATTTTCCTGAAAGGCAAAATAAAGAATAATATTCAAAACTTCACCAGCTCCCTGTATATTAAAGAACAAATTCAGTTGCTATAAAGTGTGACAGACTAGTGACACTCGAATCCTAAATTCTTTACAAAGACAGAGTGGATCTGAGAGGTAATGGATCATACACAACCCGAGAATACTTAGGGCTGGTGCACATATATCAATAACTCTCTCCTGTTAACAATGACTATAACTATTCCTTCCCTTGAAGCTCTGGAAGAATAATTTCCCCTCCTCACTTCCCTGCGGTTAAGCAGCTCATCACCACTGCAGCAAAGGACCTGAAGCTAGTCAGAAGGGGTTTCAAAGCTTGCATGAAATGGAACCCTTAGCCACTGTTAACTTCACAGCAGCGATGAACATGAACAATGGGTGATTAAATTTTAATCCACGTTATAAACCAAAATTGGCTCCCTAAGCAGACACAAGACTAATTAAAATCACTGTAAATAATTAAAACACAATAAACAGTCTTAGGCTAGATGTGATGTGAGAGTGTTGAGACAGAGAGAGCAGGTGTACACTATACCTGAGCACAGGTATGCGGGAAGGGTGCCTGGGCATGAAGTACAGCTGCAGATGTATTCAGGCATGATAGAGGGTTGCCTGGCTCCTTTCCTTCTGATGACCTCAGAGATTAAATGTGCTAGGTGGGCATGAGGGTGCCTTTTCAGATGGAGCTTGGTCCAGACACAATGGGGGGGGGTGTTTACATGCACATTCCTGAGTTATTTTGACTTGCTTAGGGGCAATTAACAGGGAGTGGGCATTATCTTTCTAGTAGCTCTAAAATTAGCCTAGCTCTCTGACAGTTTAATTCTTTTCATTTCTTTTTATTTATCAGCTCAAATACAATGTCACAGTCTTCTGATCATTCCTTCAGCACAAGCATTTCAGCTTGCCAGATGGAACAATCTCCCCTGTTCTCCCTACCTCCTAGTCCTGGGAATTTGCCTCCTGCCCCCCCCCGCCAATTTTGGGGGCATAGGGATGCACAGGAGGAACCTCTCTTGTGCAAGCAGAAACCCTTGAGCAGGGCTTTTGCTAATGGGACTTGTTAGGTGAATCCTGTCCCAATATATTCCGGCAGACGTCTGTCCTCTGAAATCCTCATAATGTTACTTTCAAGACAAAGCAAAGGATTAAATTACAATAAGCGAGCAGTTGAAGAAACATACCTGAAATTTGTTAATTCCATTGATTTGAGCAAACTCCATGCTATTATCATATAGCGCTTTTGCAATAATATCGAGTACATCTTGCCACTATAAAATATAAAAAGAAGATATTTCCATATTACAAACAAGATGGTACTTATCAGAGCACCCAGCATCTAAAATAGGTGGGAAGAAAACTAGAAGATACACTTCCCATGTATCCTAATTTCATCTTAACTTAAAATTATCTTCATTAACTACACCATCACCCAATCCAAACAGCTTTGAGGTGTGTGTGTGTGTGTGCATTTACAATCGAGCAGTAAACAAAATGTATGAAATAAACAATCTAGCTATATACCACCTTTTGAATAATGTACGTTTTTAAAAACTTTTAGATATACCGTTGAGAAAACTAGGGATTTGGCTCCTGGATCTTTGAACTGGATTTTCTTTAGAGTCCTGACCACAGCTTCCACTTTGGTGGAGTGACTTCCCTTTGAAAAAGAAGAAATTGAAGATTATGTTTCCTTTATATAGTTCACATCTGATTCAAGTCATTCAGTAACACTGTGTGTTGATATGTTTGTTTACAGAAATATATACAGTGAAATTTGCCATAAATGATTTCCATAAATTTCCTATTTTTAAAAGTTATGTATAAACATTGTAAGCATTTCGCAAAAATGTTATTCAAATAGAAGTTCCTCAATGTGATTTTTTTTTAAATTAAAAGTAATTAGTTGCGGACTGAGGTGCACTGGAGCACAAGGTGCGAGTGGAGTGGGCACACGTAAAGTAACACAAAATAAGACACAGGACAGCAGTATTGGGATTAAATGAGGCCACAACTTTTAATGACTACAGATGTAAGAAGGTTTTGGTGTAGGCATTGGGTGTGTATATTGAAATCCGATCAGCCCAATGGCTGGTTGATGGTTGGAGGGTATTTGGGGCTTGGCACTATAAATATCAACAGATTAATCAGTATGATTTGCTATCTAAAGAACTATAAACTTCACAAAATCAAATTCAACTACCAGCAAGTTCCAACTGCCCATAAATAAAATCTCAGTGATTAAAAGTTGTTGTTTTTTTAAAAAAAACAGACTGCTGCCATTTATTTATTCAGAACATTTGTTGAATGTTTGAAGTCCTTGGGTGGTTTACAGAAAACTCAGTTCAAAAATAAACATACTAAAACATTAAAAATCAGTCATTTGGTTTCCCTCCTAAAAATCTAGGTTTGTTGCCAGTCAGCATGGCATCTAAACTTTCTTCCAAGTAAGAAAAATGGAAATACTCTTACAGGATGATTAGAAACTTGTATCAATATAAAAAGTGCCCATCTGTATGACAGTTTACCTTCACAGGTATATCATCTTCTTGGTTTGCTGCCTCTGCAGTGAAGACATAGGAGATTTCTTTATGTGATGTTGTTTGTCTGCAGATGGCACACTTGATTGAACTTCTGCGGGTGCCAACACTGTACTGTTCTATAATAATAGCTATACACTCATTGCAGAAGCAATGTCCACATGTCAACACTGCCCACTAGAGGGAGAAATAACAGCAAGTAAGTGCAAAGACATGTGATGTTGGAGTTCACATACAAACATGACAATACATTAGAACTAAGTACAAAATTGTAATTTTTAAACATTCGAATTTAAGTTCTATGAAGAAATCCATCTACAATGCTGGTTGCAATTAATATGTACACATTACTTAAGGATACTAAAGGCATGAATCAGGGAAGAAGCCAGTAGTGATGTTGCTATCCCATACTGTACACTGATCTCTGGAGTAATCAGAAAAATCTCTCCTATCTATCTATCTATCTATCTATCTATCTATCTATCTATCTATCTATCATTTATCTATCCATCCATCTATCTCTATAAATCTATATACAGTTGTACTTTGGCTGTTGAATGGCTTGGCTCCCGAACAAATCAGCTCCCGAACGCCACAAACCTGGAAATGAGTGTTCACCCGGACTGTGAACGTTTTTTGGAAGGCAAACATCCAACACAGCTTCCGCGGCTTCCAATTGAGTGCAGGAAGCTCCTGCAGCCAATCGGAAGCCGCGCCTTGGTTTTCAAACCATTCTGGGAGTCAAATGGACTCCCGGAATGGATTAAGTTTGACAACCAAGGTACGACTGTATCTGTATCTGTATCTACATCTATCTATCTATCTATCTATCTATCTATCTATCTATCAACACAGAGAGAGGAAGACAACACAAGGAGCTTTTGATTATAAAGTCAAAAGAAAGGTAAAAAACAAGGAGTTAGTGAAATGGATATAATTACAAATGGAGCATAAAAACACAACTTAAACCAATCTGGACTTATCAATATCAAGAGCCCTTCAGGGGTGTCTTCAGAAAGAGGTCCAGAGGGTGGCAACACAAGAACGGGCCTTTTCTGTGGTGGTTCTGTTTGTGGGATGCTCTCCCCAGGGAAGTTGGGTTGGCACTAGCTTTAAAAATATGAAATCTTAAGATCCTCTACAGAAAAATCCATAGGTGAATGTCTTACCTGTTTTCCCAGTTGCCGTGCACAAATTGGACATGGCTCTGGATTTACTCCTCCAGTTGTTTTATCCTGAGACTATGGAAGTATTAAAGAAAAACATTTTGGGTGAGGGAGTAAAAGTAAATTAATACTTAAAGTAATCTTACAAATGATTTGAAGCTGGAACAACTTTAAAGCGTGGTAAGTTTGGCAATTCATTATATAGGACCTGTTTGTAAGTATGTTAAAAATAAATCAATACCTGGAAAAATAAAAGCAATAGCTTGGATTCAAAGACTCATGTGTGTGTTAGTGCTATCCAAGTGTTCTTGTGCAAGCTTGTGGAAGACATCTTACAGTGCAGTAACACAATTTACTTGGGATTACATTATTACAGTATGAGAAACATACAATACAAGCTGTGGCATACAAACTGCATTAATAAACTTGTGCAAAAAGAATAATCTTTTCTGAATTGGGGTTACTTTCTCATGCTATGCTCTCTCTCTCTCGGTCAACAGCCCTTCTGTAACCAGAAGGGCATATTTGGATTCAAACCAGTATTTTTCAGGAGTTACAAAACTAAGAGAGAAAATGCTGTCTGAGATTCGGTGATCCGCTTTAGGATTTCTATGAGATACATTGTTTAAAAAGAATTGTTTAAAGCACTATGGTTGATGAATGCAAACAACTCCATGGAAAACTTTATTAAAACTTCCAAGGGGAAACCGGGGGGGGGGGGGCGTAATTCTGAGTCATGATTTTAAAATACAATCTAGACAATTTTAGGTGTGTCTGAGAACTTGTACAAGCCCAGTGGGACTTCTGTCTTTTTTATCATTTAGGCAATAGACTGCTTCAGTATTTCAAACCTCCCTGAGAATTAGCTAGCTATGTAGTATGGTAAGTTCATGTATATCATGTATATAAGAGAGGGAGAGAATGAATTCATGCATAGTTCTCATAACTATGATCTAAAAATTACAAAGCTGGCATTTAAGGAAGAATGAGATTTTTCCTTTTGTTTAATTAGAGCAGTTTGCAGTGATTCAAATTAGCAGAAAGTCCCAATTATGTGAAGGTTAGCAACTTGTATACAGTGGACCCTTGGGTTGTGTTACCTTCGGGTAACATAACTTTCGGGTTGTGAATGCAGCAAACCCAGAAGTGTGTACTTCCAGGTTTTGCCATGCACACATGCGCAGAAGCGCTCAATTGCGCCATGTGTGTGCACAGAAATGGTGCATCTACTTAATTAATTTTCAGGGTGCGAACGGACACCCGGAACGAATTAAGTTCGTATCTGGAGGGTCCACTGTATTATTTAGAGCTATGAAGCACAGTCTGTAAGGTATCCTGCTTCTTGACATAGCTATACAAACATCTGCAATAGGTATCTACAGCTGTTTAAGGAGTCATAGTTTTGAGTCTATCCTGTACCCTTTAAATCCATACTGGACATACTTGAAGGAATGAGGTAAAATCTGCAGAACCTCAGCACAGCTTTTCTTGTCTCGGCTCCAAGAATCTCTTTGAGGATAATGCCAATGCAAAGTAGGAATCCCTGTTCCCGCGTTCTTTCTTTTAGATATTCAAACAATATGAGGGAAGATTAAAGAGAAAGTCATATCTACAAGGTAATAGAGGGTTCCACATGAATGTAATTTGGAAATGGTACAAGTCAACCTTACCTTTTCCAAATTAGTGAGGTAGAGGAGCTGGCCCAGTTTCTTCTGAAGCTGTGATTTGGCAACTGCTTTGTCGTTCAGGAGTTTCACTCGATTTTGTTCTACCTAGAAAAGAAATGGAACCATTCAGTGATCATTAAGGCAGTCTCTAGATATAATACAATAAACACATAATCCTGGTGTGCAAGTTATATCTAGTCCCAAAACAATGAAGAGATGCTACAAAAAGAACATTCAACAAACCACAGGACTGAGGTTTTAAAGTCCTGTTTAGTGGCAAGCAGCAGTCCCAAATGGTGGCTTAATCAGCACTACTGTTTTTCAGATACAATGCAATCTTGTCACCTCATGCGGCTCAATTATGTGAAGAACAGGGTGGTTGGGTTTTGGCTCTTCCGGATGACGCACTCTAAACCGTTCTGTAGCCATGGCAAGCTCATCAATGGCAGACACGTGATCTCGGAGGACCATCCAATATTCATGAAGCAGCTGAAGGGAAGATAAAAAGATAATCAGCAGCAGCACAGTAGGCTGTGGTTAACAAATAATTCTGTGTCCCAGCACTCAGGATTTCAAAATAACACCAACAGAAAAAAAATCTAATGGAAAATTATAGCTTTGCACTGTAAAATTACTGTACTTTGTAGTGCAAAACATATGCATACCCACCCACACAGGTACGCAGAAGAAAGTTACAGTAAACTAGAAATTCTGTGTTAGCTATGAGTGGGAAAACCAGCTATTTTCGCAAATCTAAGCACACTTCAGTATGCACAATTCCTGGTTGTTATTGCTTTTAAAGGGTCCAAAGACAGAATAAAAAGCCTGCTTTCACAAAATAACTTGAAACACAGCAAAACTAGAGAAAATATAAGTCAATATTTTAAAGGTACAGTACTCTTAGCACATATATTATGTATATATCATTACAATGACCTAGGAAAGTAAGCCTGTATTATTATCATCCCCAAATTGCAGCTATGGATCCAATGCTGAGACACTACCTCTTGCCTAAAGACTTTCTGTCTAAAATGAGATTTAACCTACAGCTTCCTAGTTTACAATTCATTCTCTTAACCAACAGCTATAGTTTGAGGAAGAAAGAACTATATTAACTTAAAAATGCCTTCACAGGAATCAATTTTCAGTTTTTAAATGCTGCTACCATGCATCACAGAACATGAGGCCTTGGTAGAGTTACCAGGTACAGTACAGCAAAGACTTCATAGCCAATTGAAACTTTACTAGTACTGGACAGATGGAAGATACAAATGCACAGCCTTTTCTGTCACTGGTAACAGGTCTCCATATGTGTCCTCAAAGCAACCGTATGCGAAGAGACAATTTGTTCCCCACTTGCAACACTAGAAGGACATTAATGTCACAAATGGCTGATTAGCCCCAGTAATTTGACTGCCTGTATGACAAAGCCTCCATCCTGCACTTAAGGGTTGAGACATGAGCAATGAAGAGCTGGGAATGGCATTTCAAAATGAGCCCTTTAGTTTAGAGAAAACTGCTTTGGGAACATCTATAACAAAGAGCTCTGTGGCACATTAACCATTTTATTGTGGCATACCCTTTCATTAATCAGAGCAGAACCTTTTGAGTATATGTTACCCAACAATATTTGGTTACATATTTGCCCACTGAGACCATTTACATTATGTGCATCTCCACCCAAAGGAAAACAACTGTGAACAGTGAAGTCAAAATATTATGAAATGCAAGGGGTCATGGTGGCCTGTGACAATTGCCGAACACAGCGATAAGAATATACATACTGATCACACATATGAAATGTTGTGGTTGTATGTGCTATGTATTATTACCATCCTTATTCTTTACAGTGGTGCCTCGCAAGACGAACGCCTCGCAAAACGAAAAACTCGCAAGACGAAAGAGTTTTCCATTTTTGAGTCGTTCCGCAAGACGAATTTCCCTATGGGCTTGCTTCGCAAGAAGAAAGCCCATAGGGAAATCTCCGGGGACTTCTTTTAAATGCTGGCGGTGGGGAGCAAAGCCTTTCGCCCCCCTCCGGCATTCAGAAGAGGTCCAGGAAGGCCGGCGGGGGCCGAAAGGCTTTGCTCCCCACCGCCAGCATTTTAAAAGTGGTCTGGGATAGCAGGGAAGTGCGCTGTGCAAGCTCCGGGGACAGGAGGGCTTTGCTGCCGACCGCCAGCATTTTAAGATCACCCCGGGACAGCGGAGAAGTCTCCGCTGTCCCGGGGGCTTTTAAAATGCTGGTGGTCGGCAGCAAAGCCCTCCTGTCCCCGGAGCTTGCGGGGCGGGAGGTGGGGAGAAGGGCTTTTCTTCCCACCGCCAGCCTTCAGAACAGCCTTCTGAAGGCTGGCGGTGGGAAGAAAAGCCCTTGTCCCCCCCCCCCAGCCTTCAGAAGAGGTCGGGGGACAGACTGTCCCCGGACCTGGTCTGAAGGCGGTTTCCATAGGAATGCATTGATTGATTTTCAATGCATTCCTATAGGAAACCGTGCTTCGCAAGACGAAAAACTCGCAAGAAGAAAAAACTTGCGGAACGAATTAATTTCGTCTTGCGAGGCACCACTGTATTGAATGAATTATCATTGTATGAAATGATTATCTGTTAGGTAAAAGGTAAAGGACCCCTGGATGGTATGCTTTGGAACTGCTAGGTTAGGAGAAGCTAGGACAGACCAATGGGAGCTCACCCTGTCGCACAGATTCGAACCGCCAACCTTCTGATCAGCCAGCCCAAGAGGCTCAGTGGTTTAGACCACAGCGCCACCATTATATATTGCTGTTTTATGACTCTTGTCATTATAATTCTTGTAAGCAGCTTTAAGCATGTTTTTGTGGAAAGGAGGTTTACAAATCAATCAATCACTATGACTGTTACACATGAGTTGTCTATATGTATGCCTATCAACCAACCAACTCAAAATGCTCCTTATGTTCTGAACTTTTCACCATGATTTCTTCTTGCTGTTGTACCTTATATTCCTTTTTCCATGCTTCAAAAAGTTCCAAGAAGATGCTGCCCTCTTCAATTGCCTTGGCATCTATTCGATGAGCTTTGGCAAAGGACAGTATAGCTTTCAAAGAGCGCTCAGTTTCACTTGCTGCCCAGAGACCTCTGCTTGTGGTAGGTAAGCGGTCATCAACCAGACCGTCTTCATCTTCTATCATTTCTTCAAAGATTGCCATCTGTCCCTTTACACTTAAATAATGTAGAAGAATTAGAGTAGTCATCATATCTGAAGTCCGTATGAATCTTAATAAAATCAAAGATAATAGGCAAACAAACGCTACAGTGCTTGATATAGTGACCTTATTTTAAAACCTATACCAATTCTCCTCACAAGAACACAGTGAAAGAGAACATAATTCACCTGAGTTTCACACTCCCAAGAGGTGGAGCAGCTCTCAAAGAGAAGGAACCTTGTTTCCATCCAGAAAGGATATAGAAGGTCACAGCAGAAACTGCTTTCTGATCTATGAAAGAAGTTTGCTTTCATCACAAGTGCACAAAAAGGGAGAAAATCACTTACGTATGGGAGAAGAGCTTTGACTCATATTCTGTGAACAATTCATCGGCCTTACAGAAGACACAGCTGGAATACAAGATATTACAAAGAGAAAGATTTAGAAGATCAATAAACAATTAAATTTTCCAAAGTTTGGTATCAGTATTCTTTCAATTAATAAAAAGATTTGGAAACTAACCCCACTGAGATGCCTAATAAGAAATATAACATGAGAATCAGAAAAATATATTTAGGTTTTTAAAAACTCAACAGGATCCATGCACACACTTGATTACTTCACTTCAGTTGTGGGATATGTGTCTCATTATTAGAAGAAATGCTAATTCGAATCGCAGTGACAGAGGTCTAGGTGTTTTCACACCTACTTGTTTAGGGGCAACCTCACAGGGCGCAGATGGCAGATAGTGGCAGCCTCGATAACCTCTTTGGAAGGAGGGCCCTCCAGTTTTTTCACAGCCTCTCTCACACGTTTCTGGAATTTCTTCACTTCTTCCATTTGAGTTGTGAGCAGGTACTGAAGGCCTCTGCAGTCACGGAATCTAGCAAGAACAGGAAAAGTCAAAACTTTATTTTGAAATCACTGGATTGACTCACGGCCCATATACTGTATGCAACTTCTTCTGGCTGAATGGCATGAGGATGCATATCTTACTTCAAATTTTTATCAGGGGAACAATCAGAACTGGCTATGTGGCTAACAGCTTGCAAACCATTTCTGCTTTTGACTTTTGGCAGAATGCAGAGCGATCTCTGTGAGTAGCCTATAAGTGAGGTAATGTGCCTATACAAGACAATTGCAGTTTTCTGAAAAGGCAAGTCGATGTAGAAAATACACCAATATATACTTTTAAGCAATCTGACACTCCCAAAGTGGGAAAACAATTGCCAGTGACCAAGCTGATATTTTAAAATATACATACAATTCTACTTATTCCTAGAAAATGGTGCTTTAAGAGCGAAATGATGTAATTTTTTTTAAAAAAAGTTACGCTCCAGAGCAAAAATAATTGCTAAAGAGATGAATGAATCCATAGACTATTATCTCAAACATAAAAACACACCTAATGCACAACTAAGATTTAAATCAACATAAAAGGGAACAGAAGACTTACATTTTTGAAAACCAATGCTGTATTTGGATACATCATTTAAAGCATTTACAAATTTTAAATGATAGCCCAGATGTTTGCAAGCAAGCAGTGCCTGGGGCATGGTGTATGAGCTGTTACAAACTGAGTAAAACTTGAGAACTATGATAAGGAACATTGCTTTGTAGCTGCTGACTTACTTGTCTGCCATAGAGAGTTTATTAGTTTGTTGTTTGTAGTTGCTAGTAAGATCATTTTGCACCCGTTGAACAAGCTCCTCATCAATAGCATATTGTATTGCTGACTGGATCACATCCAACCACCAAGGTGAATTGGAGCGCATCTAGGTGTAGGACAGAAAATAGGCCCATAAATACATGTGCCACATCTTGTGTGATAAAAAGACATGCCTGAGAAACACACACTTCCTTGTGACTAAATACAAGACCAGCAGCTTTCCCCAGGTAAATTTTGATACACTGCAGTCATCTTAGATAACTTCAAAACTGATTTTTAAATATAAACAATTGTTTAAGTATTTTCTGTTACTCTGTTTACTTATTTTTTGTAGCATTTAAGACAGCGAGAGACAAATCAGTAGCTAGATTTAAACAATGAAAAATAAATGAGGAATATTTGAAACTGGGAAACAGTGCAATTAGGTGAGCATATCTCTTTAATGACATGAGTACTTCCCCCCTTTCTTCATATGTTAACACCCCAAAATGAGGCTTAAAAGAGAAAGGCCTATTGTAGTGAATTATTTCCTAAGATCTTCCTTGAGGAGCTACATGTTAAAAACTGACATATTCTTGCCTTAAAGTTATTTTGCTTCTTAGAAAGAAAAGCAAGTCTCATCTGTAGAACTGCTTTTTATTAGTTTTAGAGAAACAAAGCATCTCCAAGTGAAGCACTATTTGTTTAAGGATTACAGAAATGACACTACCCTTGATCTTGCTGTTCCACACCTGGGATAAGCGACTGCTCAACTTACATTTGAAGAAATAAATGCAAATGTGATTCATTGAGGAAGTCACAGTGGATGCGTTTGGATGTTAAAATAAGCCTTGGTTTAGAGTGTTGTGAATGAGCATACGTAAGCCTCAGAAACTCGTACTCTCGCCTCCAATGCAAAGAGGAGGAAAGAGCTGGCTTCTTTTAAACTAGCAACTTGTCAGTTTGAATTAAACAAGATGCCAGGGATAAGCAAAAAGGGAAGTGAAACCTTCTGAACTCCTTGTGGCCATGCCAAGGCAGAAGGGGAATTGTGTGCAAGCCCCAGGCTCATTCACATCACAGTGTTATGCCTGAACATAGCCATCAGTGTTCATTATCATCCCAGTGCACAATGTGTCTCATAGAGTGCAGCAGCAGAGTGTCAGACTAGACTCAGAAGGATCAGCCATGAGCTTTAGCCAATCATGCTCTTTTGTCCATTGTCAAGTGTGAAGTAAATTAGCCTAAGATGGAATGAGCTCCTTGGAGGAACAGAAAAAATCCTTGATAAAGAAAATTTGCTTTATCTATTTTATTTGGCAAGTTCTAAAGTTTTATAACATTTGCACGTCCTGAAGCTGTTAACTTGTATATTCACAGGTCAATTCATGCATCTTAAATGTTTACGGACAGGAGTGAGGCAGAGAGAAACGTGAACATACATTATTCCGTAGAAACTATGTGGAAGAACAGTGCGTTAGTTGTATCTAAAACTGGCATGCCCATTTTAATTCACATAACAGGACTTTCCCTTCCTCTCCTCCCTCCCTCCCTGCACCCACAAAAATCTGCTCTGCAGCAGACTTTTGAAGGCACGAGTGGGGCTGCAGGGAGCAGGAGAACCACAGAGAGTCCTGTTGTACGGGTAGAAATTCACCTGCACTGTGGAAGTCTGTTGCATTAATGGCAACTGCAGCATTGGCTATAACCCACTGAAGGCTAATTTTCTAGAACTCCACTTCTAATCCAGCTTGTTGCAGTAGGGTATCTTTTCATGGACACATTTTTAGAGATTTATAAGCTCCCACATATCATCAAAAGGCAAGTCAAAAATATTACTAAAATCTTACTTTCTTCTGGAGTTCATGGATTGTCTGTAGCACTGGTTGCAAAGCCTGGTGGGCTTCAGAAACTTCTGCATTTGATTTGCTCATATAATGTTGACGGAGTTGCTCACACTGTTTTTTAAATGATAAAGAGAGAAAGACACCAAACACTGAAATACTTACAACATTGTTAGTTAATAGTTGATACATTATTACCAGTGAATGTAGATGAAATAGAATCCTATGTTTTTTAGAAGAGTGTTAGGCCATTTTTAATTACTTTCACTCTCCAGAAAGGCCACAGCATAAATTGCTATACCACGCTAGAATCACATATGAACACAGCTGCTACCTACAACAAAATCTACAGAAGGACTCAAGAGACATTTGTGTTGAGATTCCTGCATCACAGGGGGGTTGGACTAGATGACCCTCGGGGTACCTTCCAACTCTATGATTCTATGGGCAACCCATAGTAAGACCAACCAACCATAGGGAATATTTTCCTTGAAAGCCATATTTCAGTAAGGACTGTCCTTATCCCTAGAACATAGAGAAACTTACACAGCTTTTCTAAATAGAAAGGATATTCATGTTTATCTGGAATATCGCAAGTTTATTTTAATATCATCATCAACAGACGTAACTTACCAGTTCTGGACAACAATGAAATATTACTTTGCCCATAACACTTATCTGGATAATTACCTTTAACATTGTGAATTTCAACTCTGGGCAAAGATCCTGTCTATCACCTTGTTAGTGCTAGTATATATTAAGCATTAGATGTTTTAATGGCATCAGCAAAATAAACTGATATTAAGGTATATAAAACTCTTAATTCCTTGGGACCAGTTTATTTAAGAAATTCACCTTGCCCCACATGTGCCTATTCAATCACTTTGATCTGCAGAACTACAACTTTTGCAGTCCCATAAGCTGCCTGTTGCACATTTGTGATCAAGTTTTTCCATGTGTGGCATGTGCCCTGGAATTCCCTGGCTACTGACATTAAGAAGGCACCATTACTACATTGTTTAAAACATATGCTGAAAACTCTCCCATTTTAGCAAGCCTATCAAGTTTTGTTGATTTTATTTTTTAAAAAAATTATCTTATGCATATTTATTTTTAATTGGGGTTTTTTGCCACATTTTATCTGTACATTGCTTGGAGATATAAGCCATTTATGAATTTTCCAAATAAAGTTAATACATAATGCTCCTTTGTACAACCTGAAACATTACTCAGGCACTTGTAAAGGTACCCCTGCCCGTACGGGCCAGTCTTGACAGACTCTAGGGTTGTGCGCCCATCTCACTTAAGAGGCCGGGGGCCAGCGCTGTCCGCAGACACTTCCGGGTCACGTGGCCAGCGTGACGAAGCTGCTCTGACGAACCGGCACCAGAGCAGCACACGGAAACGCCGTTTATCTTCCTGCTATAAAGCGGTACCTATTTATTTACTTGCACCCGGGGGTGCTTTCAAACTGCTAGGTGGGCAGGAGCTGGGACTGAAAGACAGGAGCTCATCCCGCCACACGGATTCGAACCGCCGACCATGCGATCGGCAAGTCCTAGGCGCTGAGGTTTTACCCACAGCGCCACCCGCGTCCCTCAGGCACTTGTAGTAGCTAGCAAAGGGTGATAAAAGAAAGAACTTGCCAGGGTTTGAGGGTGTGCCTAGCTGGCTCTTGTCTATAAGCAATCAACTGAAGTTAGAACAGCCTCACCTAAGAAAGACGAAAACTTACCAGCCTCCTAAGTGGATGCCATCATTTTTAGTGTGCATTTTCATGCGACCTTGCCTTCAAATCATTGTTCCTATCCAAATGAACTTGGTTGTTATCCCTCTTAATTCTTATTCAAATATAACGCTACAACTATTGCCACTAATTCCCACTCTGTGCTCCAATTCTACAGTTTGTTCTTCATTAAATGTCACATCCTTGTTTTCATCATCTGTGAAAAGTTACTTGGTCAGCTTCAAAACATCTGATCTATTGGTATTCATTCTTGCCTTGCTAGTTTTTCAGCTTCAGTTATCCCAGCCAAACTTTTCCTAAAGGCAGTCCTTTAAAAGCATCGATCAATTCAATTAGTTTCAACTTCACAACCATAAACTCTTTCTATTATTATTATTATTGTTAATAGCCCAGCACAGTTAGTGGAGGTTTGAGAAGAACTGCATTAACTCTACAACAATAGCAGGATAGGTTATGAAGAAGTTAAGCACAGCAGTCTCCATAAGGAAACTATTCATTTGTTCTTGCAGCTTGTTACTGACAGTTGTGACCTTGAAAGTACACTACAGCTGCATCTGGAAAGATATGGCAAACATGGAATTTCCTTACATTTGACCTTAGGATTGTAAGCATTTCTGTAAGAGGCCTCGGAGCTATCCTGTAACAAATTACATTCTTTTATAAATTCTTTTGCAGGAAGTATTCCTAAACACACCGACGTGCACACAATGTACAATCACCTCTTCTTGAAGCCTGCTATCGCGCAAAGTGGGTGATATCCCAGGATGCTCTCCTGCCAGAAGCTCCATCAAGTTGTGCGTAGAATGAAGTCTCTGCGTTTGTCAATACACAAGGCAGCAGTGATTAGGTTTGACGTATGGTGACAATTACGAACAAAAAGCAGTTTAAATTGGCAGTAGAATCCCCACAGAAACATGAATACACTACCACACAGAACTACCGTATATACTCATGTATAAGCTGACTTTTTCAGTACATTTTTTAATGCTGAAAAAGCCCCCCATGGCTTATACTCAAGTGAGGGTCCCACCCGAGTGCATTTACGACAGTGGCAAAAGTGGAGGAGCACCCTAGGTAGGCAGGGGTACGGGAGGGGCTGGGGGGAAAGTTTGTGGTGTGGTGAACCAACTTATATTCGAGTCAATAAGTTTCCCCAGTTTTTTGAGGTAAAATAAGGTGCCTCGGCTTATATTCGGGTCAGCTTATACTCGTGTATATACGGTAAATAATCTTCTACCCACATCTCAAAGTTATGGCAGTATACACTTATTCATGTTATACAAAAAAGAACAGTACAGGTGACTCCCCATTTATGTGGGGGTTACATTCCGAACCCCAGCGCACATACGTGAAATTGTGTAAGCAGCCTTCGAAGATTCAAAAAACAGCTGAGTGTCATGTCGTGTACAGTACTTTGAAAAGCTCTCTGCAAAATCTATGTGGGCAAGTAGGGTCAAAAACATTCTGAAATTAGGTGTTTGGCTGGTGGGCATCTCTGTCCCACTGTCCACTGTCCAGATCCTGTTCTCTACTCCTGTAATAGTGTAATAAACTGACTCCTGTACATTATAGAACGATAGGTGCCCAAAGGTATTCCATAGTGATGCTTTAAAAAAAAACCACAATCACCAGCTGAAAGGTCTAGCTCACTGTTTACATTGTTCATCTGGAACCATAGATTGAGTATTACTGTTCAAAATATTTATATCCTGGTCTTCCATACTTCCAGGGTGCTTAACAATTATGAGATCCTTGTGAAGAAATCATAGTTTTTACTGGCAGTATACGCACTAGTTGCAACCCAATGCTTGCCTAGCACCTGCCTATTCATATGTGAAGTTGGATGTAACACTGTTTCAAACAGAGGAATTAGTTTTCCTCTTATGGATAGATTGAACTAAACTGATGCAAAATATAAGCTGGTTCCTAAATATCAGAATATATGCCTGGTGACAATGATGATTTCTGAAAGTTGACAACATTACCAGGTCTCTCTTAGCAAAAGAGGTTGGTACTTGATGGCTGATCAGGCGATCAATCTTTTAGCTCATGAACAGACATAAAAGCCAAGAAAAAGGCAAAAAAAATCCACAAAATTTCTGTACTAGTTTAAAGAGTACCTTCAGAGATTATGCACATACTTGCAATGAATCTGTTTTGAGCTTCTCTTTGTGCTCTTCAGAGGAACGCAGCACCTCTCTATACATATCTGCTGCCAATGCATATTCACCTGAAAAATTAGCATATTTCAGACAGGAGTATTGGGATTTCTGTCTTTCACCTAATGTCTAATTACCTACAACTGTACACACAGTGCCATCAGGATTTCTTAGTAAGCACTTTAATTAGAGACATCTATGCTGCATAAACAAATTATAACTGAAAAGGAGTTGGAGAATAAATTTCCAACTGTGAAAACAAAGCTAAAACACAGCATTCTACTACTACCACTGTGATTTTTCATTCCAGGGAAGTAGAAGCAATGGGAACCCTCTCCCCACCCTGGATATGGAAGATACAGACACTTTCTATGTCTGTTCCCAAACAGAAATAATTCCCTATTTCCAACACTTAGAAACATCACTGTAAAGCATTTAATAATTTATAAATTGTTTGGCTATTTACATATGGAAGCTTGACAGAGACCAGCAAACCTATTGTAGCAAGATCAAAATAGTCAAATTGTGTATGCAGCCACTGATAAAGTTAGCATATTTTTTAAATGTTGTAAAAAATATTTTTTTAAGAAAAGAATAAGATATAAAATAAATAAATGTATATAGTCACTATTGCCTATTAGATTCAAGTACTTCCTATGCTGATGCAGAGTTGTGTGCTTCAGTGCTGGGTCATCAGACTTTTGAGTGGGCCTGTAAAACTGCCCTCCTCTTGGCTAACTGCTTAAAAAAGGCATGCAAGTATTTCCTCAAGTGCCAACTTCATTTCTGATTAAATTTCTCTTCCTGCTTCTTTGTGTACCAAGTCTATCTTGAAATAATATTTATAAAACTGAAAAAGCAGCGACTTATACCTCCTAACCTTCCAGACTTACAATTCTGCAGCGTTGCTTGCAGCTAGTACAAACGTCATTTCTTGAGTATCTTGTACATACACATTTTCCTTTAGGATTTACCAGCAATTCTACTAAAGAAATGCCTAAACACCTGGGCTGGTATTTAACTATTTAAGAAACAACCAACAGATTCGCTCAGAGCCAAGGGATATTTGTAATTAGTAAGTGGCTAGATACAGAGACTTATATTTTGCTTAGAGGAATCTGAGGCCAAACAAATCAGCCCTTTGGATTTAGTCTGAATTAACCAAATAGTAAAGAACTCTCTCTCTCTCAATATAAATAAAATATATGAGTGCTACTGCACTCATAGGAACTGCACCAAACAATTATGAGCCAATTTTACCTTTAATAATATGAATACCAGCTAATCCATTCAAAGCACACACCAATTGCCTATGGACTTCCTCACATTCTGTTCGACATTTTTTCTGTAGTGATGTTAGAAGCTCTTCCATTGTCATTGTGCTGGAACAGAGACCCAAAGCATGAAGTGAAGGCATTCAATATGCATCAGAGGTCATAAGGCTACCTTTTCAAGAATGTACTTTTTATAACAATAATAAACTGAAAAGGGCTAGCAACTGGTATAATTCAAAAATGATGCTGTTCTACTGCTATTATTTAATATTTTTAATAAATATATTCCATTTAATATACAGAAAAAATGATACAATCCTTGCCTAGATGCCTTGTAATCCACATTATATGCAAAAGTGGGATGAGAGACTATAATGACTGACTTGTCATGACCAAGTGACATGACCTTAGTGACACAACAAATAGTGGAACGGCACTGCTAGCCTACAGGAGAGGGGGACAAGTAACTGCAGTTGGGATTGATACCCTGAAGAGGGGTCTCCTCCTTTTCCCCCAGTCCATGCTACTCAAGGTCTCATGTTGCCATTGGCCAAGCCAAATAATCTTCATTATTTGACACACAGCCCCAAACTCTCCACTGGACCTGCTATGCCGGCCCATGGAAAAGGGAGAAACACTTTAAAAACATTCCAGTCTGGGCTTGTTGATGGTGACAACGTTCACCTCAGCTGCTTGCTTTTTTAAAAAATTAAATGGTGTGGACAGTACACTGCTATCTCATAATCTGATGAAAAGTGGAATGAGAAGGAACAGAAACTGCAGAAGGCTTCCAGGTGGAAGCACCCTAACAGAGAAGCAGATTGTTCTAAGAATATAAGAGGAGCCCATCTGGACCAGAGCAAAGGCTATCTAGTCTCGCATTCTGTTCTCACCGAGCCAGCCAGATTATCTATGAAGTCCACAAGCAGGATATGAGCGCAACAGTACTCTCATGTTCACATTCCCCAGGCACAATACAGGACCAGAGTGGGAGAAACAGAGAAAGTAGGCATTGTTCACTGTCAGGTTCAAATTGTAAAAATAAAAAATAAATGCTGATTTCTGAAAGACATGCTGTGAGGAAAAGGATATATATTCAACAACAGGCCAAGAAACCTGATGTCATTCTATAGCTAAACCAAGAGACTGGTCCAAGCTATTATGTGGATAAAAGGCAACCTGGGACCCCCAGCTTCACAGAGGGCAGGACAGAAAATCAACAGTGAACTAGCTTGCTAACCTGATAGAGACGATGGGTTCATTGTTTCTATTATTCAGAAGCTCTAGCACTGTGTCATGGACACAGAAGTAAAAGGATACCCACATGTAATTTCAACCATTTGTTGTAAAAATGGACTATTGCTCTCAGACAAAAAGAGCTTAGAAACAGATCCTTTTTCTGCAGTCCTTTTTATGGGAGCTACTTTTTTGTTACTGTACTCCTCCTTTACTGAAGTGGCTATGTTGCTGCTACGCATGAACATTCCACTGAATATAGGTTGCTAGGACAGATAAAACCGTTCAGTTAAAATTAAAGCTGCTTTATTTCACAGACACATTTCCTGAACTTGCTGCATCAACTTAAACACTAAAGAGTTAGTGGCAATATTCTGCTCCCAATACAAGCTAGTATTATATTTCTAGGCTGTGATAGTATGAATAGTCAACATCAGTTGTCATACGGTTATGCTATTTCTTCTCACAGCAGAGTATAGAAACGTGTAATCTGCAGAGTTGAAAAGGATTAATCAATCAGTACCATTACTTATTGATTGCAGATTAAAATGTGAATTTCAATTGGTGGTGTGTGCAGTGAAAGATTCTTCAGCACTGTTTGATTTATGGTAAACAAATAGTCTTGAGTCAAGAGCAAAGACCAAACAGGTCAATGTATCCCAACTACAGTTAGGCTAAACCTCTTTGCTCAGCTAGTTGTCTCAGAATACTGTAAGTTAAATATAATTAAAATTAAAAGATTTGATATCTTTACATTCATAGCCTTGGATTAAAAGCTGCTCTTTTGCAAGCAAAGGGCACCTCTGCTTCCTTCCTCACTTTCCACTAATTTCCCCTTCCTACTACAACCTCACTCGCACTTTGTTTATGCAAGTCACAATGATTAAAAACATGAAGTGGGATCTTAGTTTTGCATATTATCTGACATTTGAACTTCCAACAACTATCTTTAATGTTCCATCAGGTGAGGTAACAAGACTACAGCAGGTTGCACACATGTATGTATGTCTTGTTCTGTATGCAGAATATACAGGGTATTTTCAAACACCGTCTTGTAAGTATACAGTGGTACCTTGGGTTACATACGCTTCAGGTTACATACGCTTCAGGTTACAGACTCCGCTAACCCAGAAATATTACCTCGGGTTAAGAACTTTGCTTCAGGATGAGAACAGAAATCGTGCTGCGGCGGCATGGCAGCGGGAGGCCCCATTAGCTAAAGTGGTGCTTCAGGTTAAGAACAGTTTCAGGTTAAGAACGGGCCTCCGGAACGAATTAAGTACTTAACTCGAGGTACCACTGTAAATTCAACTTCACAAGTACTCTGCTATTTCTAGAGTCACTGCCTGGAATATGAAGTCCAAATGAATAACAAATAGCTTTCTCTTTCATATACCAAACTGGTGAATTTTACTCACCAACTGACTTTAGAGTAACTACAGAAAAAGCCCAACCTTTACATTTCAATATTGTAGGTCTACCCAGAAATAAGCCCCACTGACCCATGTCCATCAGTATAAGAGTCCCGTAATTATGAGAGGTCTAGAGTCACTTTAAGAATAAACGTAATTAACCTTTTCTGCAGTGGGAGGAATTCTCCACGGACAGCTTGCGGGTGACAGCAGGCTTGCCTCAAGCGCAACAAAGGGTACAGAATGGAAGCAACAGTCCTCCGATCCAAGCTGCTAAGCTTGAGGGACCAATCAGAAATCTTCCTGAGTTTTGCCAGAGCATCCTGGCAGCAGACCTCATGTTGGCGATGATAAAAGTGTCTCTCCACAGGAGAAAAATAGAGCCAGTGTGTATCTTCTGTCTGAGCAGGGATCTGAATCTAATAATAAAATGAAACGACAAATGAGTAACTCAAGTATTGGGTGAAAAATGTTGTCTATGAACATATTCTTAGAACTTGTGTGTTTACTTGGTCAATCACGTCCTTCTTTGCTGACCTCCACATTATCTTGGCTATGAAGTTGTAGAGAGGCTGTGTGTTTTTCCTGCAGTATGGTCGATACAGAAGCTGATCCCACCAATATTTGACCCAGTAAGGATCAGCTCCAAGGAACAGTACTAATCCATATAAATCTATGACAAAGGAACAGCACATTTTACTGCAAGCAAGATTTTTTTAAAAAAAAAGCTTATACACAATGCAACTTAGCTAAGCCTGACAAGTAAAATTACTTCACGCTTGCTTTCTTTGGGCAGGAGAGATGGAACCTGGGTGCTGCGTATACAACCAAATCTTTGTGAAAGCTTAAAATAAGAAGTACACCCCCTTATAAGTATCACACAGAGTCCATCAGCAATTTCAAAGCACTGACATTTTTCAAAATCTGGGCTTCAATCACAAATGTACATTTTATATGGAAGTTCATGGAAGGACAGTTTCCAGCTTCCTCCTAATTCTTAGGAGGCTTTCCTGAACAAGGATTACTGCATGGCAGCAATGATAGAGGGTAGAAAATTTTCCAGTGCTTAAAAAAATATTTTTGTTGTTGCCGTTTCTAAGTTTATTACTAAAAACATATATATGCCAATTGTAAATGCAATTATTAGGTGCTCATAATCCAGTGTTGGCCAAACTTGGGTCTCCAGCTGTTTTTGGACTACAACTCCCATCATCCCTAGCTAACAGGACCAGTGGTCAGGGATGATGGGAACTGTAGTCCCCAAACAGCTGGAGACCCAAGTTTGGCCAATACTGTCATAATCTATAATACTGTAGATCAAAAAGTTGGAGTTCATCCTGTTTTAGAGAAGGCCCCACTTCCCTTGCTTAATGAAGTTCACAATTTGGGAGTAATCCTGGAAACTGGATACACAGGGAACAGGTTGTTGCTGGAACTATTGCATAGCTTTGGCTAGTATGTCAACTACATCCTTTACTTGAAATACGGATTTGGCCAAGGCAACACATGCCCTAGTTAGTAGAACCTGGTGCCATGCAATGAAGCTGAATGTCAGAAGATTCATGAGAAACAAAAGGTAGCATTTCTTCATACAGCACCCAGCTTAACTCTGGAATTTACTATCACCAGATGGAGTCTTAAACACAGGGTTAAACCCATGGAATATAAGGTTATAAATGACTACCTGGCATGTACCTCTAGTAGTGGAGGCAGCATGCCTCTGAATAACAGTTTCTAGGGAACACAAGTGGAGAAACTGCTGATGTGCTCATGTCCTGCTTGTGGGCATCCCATAGGCATCTGGTTGGCTACTGTGAAAATAGGATGCTGGGCTCTACGTACATTTGGACTACTGCAGTTGGTCCAAAATGCTGCAGCCAGACTGCTAACTGGAGTAGCTCATAAGGAGCGTGTGACTCTGATCACAACAAATGAATTGATTTCAAATTAGTTTCCAAGCCCAAATCAAAGTAGGACTGCTTTTGACCATTAAAGTCCTAAATGTCTTGGCATCAGTGTACCTGAAGGCCTGTCTGCTCCAATACAAACTTGCCTGGGCATTAAGATCTGCAAATGAGGTCACTGTCTGTATCTCACCAATGTCATAGGTACATTTGGTGGGAACATAAGAGAAGACCTACCTGTAGGTACAATTAGTACTGTTTTTGTTTTTTGTGTTGCTTTTTTCTTTGGTATGTAATTTTTAAGGTGTATTTTAAATATGCTTTATTTTGCACTTGATGGATTCTCTTTTATTATTACCTGTCTTGAACAATATGCTGTTGTGTTGGATAGCCAGGACACAAATATTCTGGATTTTTAAAAAAGGAATTGCTTTCTAGAAGGGAGTTTGGACCAAAATACCCTTGCCATTACTGCATGCTTGTTGATACAGACAGAAGATTAGCTATACTATTCACCTTCCAATCCTCGTTGCACTGGTGTGCCACTGACACACCAGCGATTGATTCCACTCAAACGGAGAGCCATTTCTGCAGCCTAATAAAATATTATAGAAAATATAATTAAAGCCCATGACTACTAGGAACAACCTCATGCTTAGCCCAAGAATATTAAGCAATACTAAGGGTCCACCTGCCACCACGCTTTCTAAATGTACTTCCTACATGACTTGAATGGCAAAGATGAATACCACAATGGTAAGTGAAGACTAACTGCTTTAGGAAATTGACGAGATGGTAGTACCCCACCTTTCTATTTCATCCCCCTATAGAGACCAACCAGTAGAGTCCTAGTGAAAAATGCTCAGCTGGAATATCCCAACAATCTGCACAGTCCACACTGATATAGCTCAGTTTTGTGAACAGGGAAGGGGTGAAATAGGCTGAACATTGGAACAATGTAAACTGAGACAATGTAAATTGAGACAGCATTCCATTTCTATTTTCCTACTCAGGTGAGTTCCTGGCCTGCCATCATTACTGCATCTTGCCATCAGAACAAAGCCCCTTATATTCACAGACACGGTGTGAATACTTTTCCATAGCTTCTTGTTTCTTCAAACCATAACACTTTTACACATTGTTCCAATTTCCTACACTCCATACCACTGCAATTCAGCCTCCCCTTCCTTTCTTCAGCAAGCCTGCTTCTAGAATCCATTCCCCTCATTCCCACCATCGTCTGGGTTCTCAGTAAAACTGAACAGCTATCTGATCTGAATGAGGATACACCCATTGTGGGTGTGTTCCAACATCTCTCTCTCATATTCCAATCCATACACAACACACACCCACAAAGAGAGAGAGAGGAAAAAAAGAGAGAATGAGAATATCACATTGTTACTGTTTAAAGGATTAGCTGTTCAAATATGCAATGTCATCCACCAAGAAATTCCTTTACTGGAGGTGAGCAGGTATTCACAGCAGTATCGCTTTGCAAACAGCTGAAATGGTTCTGTTTAATATTTCTTAATGTCAATAAAGACTGTTTTACAGTTCTAGACCCAAGGGCAGACCCTCTGCCTGTTTAGATAGGCACTGAAACAGACTAACATCTTGCTTTCAGCTATCAAGCAGTGTAATATACATGATGACCTAGTTCTTTAAACTGTCAGAATACATTGTGCTAAGAGATTAAATAATAAAAAAGTACTAAGCTTCATAGCAAGTCAAACCTCTGGCAGATAAAACATTTAGTAACACCTCCAAGGGAAACTATATTAGTCACTTCAGAAGAATAAATGTCAAGGTCAAATTTATATGCCTGTGTGTTAAAAGGGTATACAAGTAGGCTCTTTCATTTGCTTTTATGTTGTACATGTTCAACAGGGTCATACCCAAGCAACTCATGTTCATTCTCACCTTTGCAGTGGTGCATTCTACCATCTGTGCTTCATCCAGGCAAATTCTCCACCACTCCACAGCTACCAAGGGACTTGGGATAGCCATATAACGCTTCTGGTTCCTGAAACGGCGTCCATCTTCACTATTACTGTGAGGAATGTCCACATAGTTCAGTTCACTACGAAGGACATCATATGTGGTGATCACTACTTCCTGCTCTGCCAAGATGTGAGGCTGCAAGAAACCATGCTTCTTCACTCCTTGATAAACCTAAATAAATTTGGGCACAATGCACATGAGAGAAAGCATTGACAATTAAATTGAGGGAGGGGGAGAGACACAGAACACTGAGAAGCTGAAAATTTCCTGCCTTGCAAGAGGATTTTAACACTATGATGACAGCTTCATTCACAGTTAAGCATACTGTGGTTAAAAAAATGTAGGTTCTCTATAACTTGGCTCTCAAGTTTCATGACAGAAATGACTGCTGAATCAAGAACTGACTACTTTAGAAACAAAGATTTACAAGAAATAATCTGTTTCAGAAGGTAAGAGGAAATTCTGTGGCAAAAGCAGAAGTATTTGCATGAACAATTTTGTTGGATATAGCCCTTGATTTACATTGGCATTTTTTTCCTTGTTGATTTTAAATCACTGATTTAAATTGTCTTAATATAAATCAATCTATCCTGCAAAAAAAATCTTAAGGATTACTACCATTATCAAAATGTACTGAAATGCTGGACATTTATTTTAACAACTACCCAGGAGTGAAAATATTTTCATTCTACTCACTTAATAACTGCATTTGCTACACTCTACCTCAACATAGTATACTTCCCCTATTGATTGCTGTGAAACAACATCTTTTCTTACCAACACTCGAAGAGAAGATGATCTCACGTGCCTGTTAATCTCATCAACCCACTGGTGGCAGATAGAACTTGGAGAGATTATCAGAGTAGCTCCTGTTGGAACTGGTTTCATTGCTACAAGGCAATGGGGACAGTAAAAGGGCTTGATCTTTAGATTTTCTTCTTTGTAGTTCACACACTCAGCATGTTGCCACAGGTGGCAGTTCAGGCACTGCACACGGGCCTTATAGTCAACCAAGCCAAGCTCACCACATATGCATTCAAAGCGATAATCAGAGGTATTGAATGGAAAAATAGAACCAGGATGTGGTACAAAAATGCTAGTGTGTTCTTGAGAGGCTGGAGACTGGCCTTCTGAGTTGTCTTGCTGCTCTTCAGCTTCATCATCTTTTTTAGAAATGTCAGTAGAATACGTTTTGTTTTTTGAAATAGGCCTATTTTCTTGCAAGTCAGAAGTTCTATGCAGAGAATCTTCTTGCATTATCCAGCCCTTAGGATCCATTTCTGATTTTGTATTATCTTTGCTTCTTGTACAGTAATCATGCTCTTCTGCTGTGATGTCTACTGCCTGAGATAGTTTAAGACCATTTGGATAGCACGTGCCCTCATCTCCCAATTCTTTGGTTTCATTCTTATTTTCTGGTGAATTTTTCTTCTGAACCCTAGCTGAAGTTTTTATTTTCTAAAACAAACAAATAAAATAAAATAAACTTATTTTGCTTTTTCAGCTTCATAAAAACACTCTGGATTAAATCAAACACTTGATTAGGAGGCACAAGGGAAGGGGAGCTGGAAAAGTCCCAATGTGCATGCTGCATTCTGTGCATGTTTGGAACAAAATACACTTTCAGGATACTGAGTAGACTTTTACAAGACTTTTTAAAGGGAGTTCCAAACAAAGAAACACACACACACTCTTACTAGGGGTTGCCACCCCTGCTCTGTTCACCAACCCCTTTGCCCTTCCCACACACCTAACCAATCCCACCGCCCTTTTATATCTCAGCCCTTACCTGCCCAACTACTGTGTGAAGGGCTTTCCCCATTAAACTCTGCTACAGCATCACACCCCTTCCAATAAACAGCTCACTGATAGGTTGCCTATCAGTGGCCATGCAAATTGCAGAGTGTTGACATCTTACATTTTAATGCATATAGGAATATATATATATATATATATAAATATGTGTGCGTGTGTATACACTGTTATACATTTTCAGTTCTTTTTTGTCCTCTAATTCAGCACGGCAGTTTAACACTGAGAAACTACACCCCAAACTACAATGCAACACATCTGTTATTCATTAAACAGTGTAATAGCATTACACCCAAGAGATCTACTGCACATTATAAGTACATTCATGCTCATTATCAGCCATTGGGGTTCAAACCTAGTTCTCCCTGGCCTAAATTACATGCAATTATTTCAACCCATTAAAATGTTCAGGGATTGATATGAAGATATCTCCCAACAACTTTTGAGACTACAGTCATTAAAGCAGATGGTGGAAAATATCCAATGGCAAATCCAGATAAGATTTCCTACACAGCGATTACTCCCTGAATTCTATCAGCTCTTGTTCAATTGACTTAGCTGCTCTGTTCTCATTTGCCCCCATTCCCAAAATTACTATAATGGACATGTATCAAAACACTTAAATAGAAATTATTCCCTCCATGGATTAAAAAAAACTCCCAGGTTTTTTAAGGGTTAGGGTTTTAAAAGGTTACCTCTTTTTTGAATTTATTACAAAATTTCTGTTCCTTGTAGTTTCTGCCCAGCTTGAAAGAACCAGCAAGACCATGACCTTTGACCTGTTCCACTACCTTCTCTGCAATTAATTTTTCCAGAGTCCTTTTAAGAATGCGACGGTTTCTGTGTGTGTCATACTTGTATATGGCATGGACATACTTAAAAATTGCCACAATAGATGCTCCCTTCTTCACATTCATTTCTTTTATAGCTGTTAAGAGCATCACTCGCAAACCTATTGTGAAGGCATAAATATCTACGATAAGTTGTGCAAAAAGAGGTCACAAAATAATGTTAAGATTTTAACAGTATTTATGTATTTATTTAGGAATCACTTTCCATGAAAACATCTCAAAGTGATGAACAATTTCAAATCCAATACAATACTAATGCAGCACCGACTATTCTTTTTTTTATTGATGTAACATCAATTTTCATCTATAATCAATTCTGCAAAACTAGTTAATAGGAAAAGTTAACAAAATTAAAGGAACCTATTGCAGTATTTCAAATAATTTTCTGGGGGAAACCTTAAACATAATTATTCAATTGCATGCAATCAATTTAGGACCTGCCCTGATGTGAAAAGCATCATTATCATATACTAAAACCTCAATAAATAAAGATAAATTTGGGGGGCTTTGTAGTAAATGCTTTATTCATTACATATATGCTACAAATGATTTTCATGTTAAAAGGTGTTTTGTTTTTTTGAAAGACCAAAACCCATTTTTCCTTCGACCTCATGCATGCCTCAACAACTTCTCAAACAATATGCTCAACAGTGTTCCCTAATGTCTGCTTGAGACATCTGAATGAGTCCCCCCACTGATATGGGAACCATGTCTGCATCTGTGTATCAAAGTAAAATGTAACACGTGCACCGCTAATACATGGACTTTGGCTCTTCTGTAATATACAGAAATCCGAAATATGTCTTGCAGTACTGATCTGTCAGTTATTTTATATTATCAATCTCTGCAATCATTTTTATGCAGCAATAAATGTATCTGCAAATATGTTGCACCAAATTGGTACAAAGAATAGTAGGAAACAGAGGCAGAATGTACAGTGGTACCTCGGGTTACATACGCTTCAGGTTACATACGCTTCAGGTTACATATGCTTCAGGTTACAGACTCTGCTAACCCAGAAATAGTGCTTCAGGTTAAGAACTTTGCTCCAGGATGAGAACAGAAATTGTGCTCTGGCGGTGCGGCGGCAGCAGGAGGCCCCATTAGCTAAAGTGGTGCTTCAGGTTAAGAACAGTTTCAGGTTAAGAACGGACCTCCGGAACGAATTAAGTACGTAACCAGAGGTACCACTGTATATACACGTAGTGTATAATGGCAAATAAATATTGGCCTGGCTGTGCTGTAAGGCTTTTAAATATTTTGTTTTCAACAACAGTTCTACCACTCTTTGCCCGCAAAGTAGTCTAGTTAGATGTTTCTGCAGGAAGGAGCGTTTAGATAGACCCAGTACCAAATCTACTGTAAATGGTACATATTTCTTATTATTGCTTCTGGCAAATTAAACCTACTGAAGAACACTTACTAGGATAGTGCACTTTTTCCTTCAATTTAAGTTCCATTTTCTTTATGCTTTTCTTTTTGCTTCCTTCACTAGGTTGAGGCGGAACAAAGAAGTTTACCAAAAAACCCTAAGAGATAATTTTAACAATATCAGATTTACGTTCAGCTACCATGCTGACCTGCTTCACAAAATTAACATTTGCATCACTGAGTCTGACGCACAATTAATGTATCTTACACAAGCATGCCAAGAATATTTGAATATTAACTACTGACTCTCTGGTTTTGAAAACACATAGAAAAACTAAGGCTGGGGTGTAATGCTTGCTGTGACGATTCAATGGCAAACAGTAACAATTCACTAACAATATGGTGAAGATTGGTGATATCAAACAGATATCCCAGCTGAAGTGAAAAACTAATATTTAAAGGTATTTAAAAATTTGGTGTTGGGCAGGAGGAGATAAGCAGAAGTCTTTGTACAAAAGGAACGACATCATGGGACAAAATGAGAGTTTGATAATGACCAACATAAAATAGTAAAAGAAAAAGTTAATAATAAATTGACTGGGCACAGAGAAAATATTAATTTGCTATTACCAGATTGGCCCTAGTATATAGAATATGAGCTACAGCAATGCACAGGTATGAGGCAAGGTCTTCAAAACATAGAAAAAAACACATAAGGTTGTACATTGACCTGAAATTTGTTATTCTAGTAATTTACAAACAAAGATCATCTCTCAATAAGCTTAGCCTAGTGAATGCTGTATATTTTGCGTGGCCCTAAGAGAAGTACATAAATTTTGTCAACAAAAACAATTTTCCTGACTTTCATGAACCCTATTCTGTGAAACTTGGTGCTTCTGGTATCTTCTAAAATTGTCTAATACTAAATTTATTATGATCAACCAGATTATGTAGCTTGTATATCAATTTGTTCAATTCAGGAGGTTCAATTCTGGACCAATTTGGCATTTGGTTCTAGATGGTAACTTGTAATCTATTGTATAATAGTAAGAACTTCAGTCGAAAAAAATCAGGCATGTCGAAAAATAAGCATACAATCTGGTCCAACATAAACCCGAGACTGAGTGGTAAATTCTTGCTCAATTTATACAGAGATTTTAAAGTTGAATTTATTAATGCTGAAGATACACTGTTAAGCAACTAGTCCCATGTTTGTTTTTGTATAGATATGCTTAAACATCTTAAAACATCCCCCCATTTTTAATAAAATGGGATTTGATTATGGATGGACATGAAACTAAAGACTTGCAGAAATGAAAAAAATGAATAATTTATTATGAATATAAACATAAAAGAGCAGTTCTAATAAACCCCTAGCTCAATGTTCTGCCACCAAGAATGGTCTCTTCTCCCCTCACCACCTACCCCGGCAAGGACCAAATCACTTCTCGAGTATTGGAACCATTTGCTTCATTCTCACACCTACTACAAATTTCTCACCTCAGGTAACATCAGAGCATCCTGTTTAACATCCTTTCGAGTGTGTGTTAAGATAAGGGACAATACTTCTACTGTTTTTCCAAGGCCCATCTCATCTGCCAATATTCCTCCAGGCCACTGAGGCCCAGCAACTGGGCGTTCACGAATAATGCTGAAGACCAAAGATTCATCCTAGTTAAGAACATGTTATGTGTATGTATAATTTCTGATTACAAATTTAACAGAAGCAAATGACTACATTGGCATTTTCTGAAGTAGGTAACATTCTAGAAGTACATGCATTTGGAGAAGGATCGTGGACAAACCAATCTCTAATATTTAAGATATACACATAACAAAATCCATCATAAGAGTTGCTTTAATCCCAGCACCTACACATTTTTTTAAGAACAGAAAGGAAACGATATATATTTCATTATCAATCAAGCACAGAATTAAATAAAACTGCTCATTTGCAAAACGAAGCAGGATCCAATATGCTTTCAAATGGGATGGGGAACCATGTGTTGAGATTTCTGTGTTGCAGGGGGTTGGTCTACATGACCCTCAGGGTCCCTTTCAAGTTACAATTCTATGGGTCTATGAAATCACACTAACAGATTTAATTCCTTTTCCTTTCTCATCTTCAGAAGTATTCAAAATATATTTCTATAATTTCTTATTGTTTAAATCTAGGAAATAGTCACATTAAGGCATTTTCATAAAACAAGTGCTGGAGTGATATTTATAGCATTAAACACAATTACTTAAATTGTATGCACTTTGGCTGTAATAATAAGACCAATAATCCTTACCAGCCAGTAAAAGGATTATAGTACAGTTTTAGTCCATCTAAAGTAATAAACTCTCTCCATAAGAAGTGGAGTGCATTTTCTACTGAGAGAAAGAAGAAAACAATGAGATTCATACAAATGCTACTCATATGATTTAAATTTATTTTGACTGCTTCTTCGCTTATCTTCAAAGTTGAAAGTAAAGAAACTGAAGCTCCGAGGAATCTTATTTGATCATTCCACAATCCCTCAAGCCCTATGTTCTCTTACAGACCAATGCCCCTTCAACTTCTATAAGATTAAATGAACCCAGTACAAATAGTTACAAGACCCTTAAATGACCAGATTGTAAATCTGGATAACACCACCTCTTAGTACTTTATAGTGTTTTACATACACAAATCCTTACAGTAATCCCATAAAGTAAACCAGCATTATTAAGCCCAGTTTTACAGATCAAGAAGCTTGAAAGACAACATGCCTAAGACCAACTAGTGGGTTTATGATCATGATTAGATATGAACCAGAGACTTTCTGACCCACAGCTTACTCTCTTAGCTAGTGTGCTATGGTAGGTCTACTTTATTCCTTCTCAAGATAATCGTGTAAATTAAATAGGAACTATGAATCACAGGTAATCTACAGAAGCTAATTCTCAGAGCTCATAATGTTTCCAGCATTTAAGCCATCCCCAGACCCCAGTTGCCCTAAAAGGAAATTTACATGGAGTACCTACTATATTCCAGATGGAATAATCTAAGATTCAGGTTACATACATTTCCTGCCTACAGCATCAAGGAAATAAGCAATAACTAGGAAGGAAATTGCCAAAAATAAAAATATGGGAGAAGGGGAATGAAATTTCCCTAAAGGGGGTTCTATTCGTAATTAGCCACTTCTGAACCAAGTGATGCACATTAATGCCACACCTGGTATGTTAGAAACACAAACAACCCTTATGTTGTGTATAAACTAAGTGCTGATGTATGCAATATGAGCATGTCTCAGATCAGCAATCCAGGATGCACAATGGGTTGTATTCAATGGCAATTTTGCCTTAGCAGAAAGCAGTTCTATTCACACAAGCAGGGCACTGAATTTTAGCTACTTGAGGTGGGGGTGGGGGAATGATGTGCGACTTTCTTATAACTAATAAATCATCATGAATTTCTATCAGTATCACTGTAATCAAGATATAAATTTATGTTGCCTTTTTCGAGATACTTGCCATTGGTTGGTACATTTTTGAAGTTCTCACGTTGCAGCATCCAGTTTACAGCCTCAGTTTGGTATGGCCTCAATACAGGAATTAGTGCAGAGTGCTGTACGTTCTCCTTCAAAAACTGAATTTCTTTTTGGTGTGTATGCCTCACATAGTCATAAAGCTCTTCAATATTTTGCCGCTCTATATCTCTATCGGATTCCTCCTCATCTTCCTCCAGAATATCTAAAAGAACCGTATGGCACTGATTCACAGTCAGTAATGTTTGCAATACCTTAAACGTACTGCAATGAAGTAACAAAACAAATGGGTAAAAATAGTATCCCTGTACTAAGAAATATTAATCCAGTACCTTGTTGTTCCCAATCTTAGGTACAATACCAAATAGTTCTTGGAGGGGAAGAAGAGAACTTGGCTCTCTTTTAAGATCAAAAACATGATACTAGGAACTGGCTAGAATACAATTTTTAAAGTACTGAATTTGTTTTAATAAATTATAATTTATTTCCATTATTTAAAAAGCTTACAGTACCAACATCAGTTCGCAATTTTTAAAAACAAAACCTTGATTTCATTCACAACACTTTCCTTGTACTTGGTGAACAGTGCAGGTGATAATATTATAATTAATGTGTTGATTAAATTTGCTACTGATGAACAAATACTCTTGTAGCAGCTGTGATGCTGAAAACCAGATGCTATCCTTTAATAGCCAACCACTTCCCACCCTCACTGTATAAAGTAAGAAAAATAAGTGGAGTGACTATGAACAGGGATAGGGTTGAGCAGAAGGAAGAGGAACATGTAAGGGCTTGAGCAGATGATGGAGAGAATGAAGAATCAAAAGACATTTAAAAATGCAAGGCCAAGTTATTTTTCTTCCACTCTTCTCTGCCATTCTGTGTGGGTCTCCACTGGTAATAATGTGCAACTTATGCACTGATTCACTATACTCAATCGTCACTTTTTTTTCAACTTTACAAGCGAATTGTGACTATTTTACACATTATGTGCACTTTACACATTATGAGCCAAGGATACATATATTTAACTAAAGATAGACATCTAAAAATGCACAAAACAGAGTTGTCGGTTTCATTTACTCAGCACAATTTCACCAATTTCAAAAGAAATCATGCTAATTTACATGACACATCTCTAGCAATATTGTGCAACCATTGACCATTTCGGTACAGTAGTTCGGACTGATGTTCTCTAAAGAGTCTGGAGGTCAAAACATTATCTTTCTAATAAAGTTATTGCTTATTTTCATATGAAATGTGAAAGCTTTTAATGTTTGATGTATTATAGTATTTTAATATTTTTTTGGAAGCCACCCAGAGTGGCTGGGGAAGCCCAGCCAGATGGGCAGGGTATAAAATAATAATAATATATAATAATAATAATATAATAATAATAATAATAATTATTATTATTATTATTATTATTAGCATAGATTTGACCAACATAGCACAGGTATTGCCTAGAGTCCTAGACCAACAATTGAATGATAGTGCAGGACATATAGGGATATATTTCTACACGATTCTGAATCATACATATTCTGCTCTTTATATAAAGGCACACCCGACTCTAGGCCACGTTTCCATATACCTTTATGTCATGTGGCAGGAATTTCATTTCTTGATTATCTCCAGAATCCTCACCCCTGAGCTGAAGGAAGTATGTCCTGTTACTTTGCTGTACCAGAGAATGTTCTGTGTATGTGTGCAGTTTACTCAAGTTAAAAGTATCAAAAGTCACTGACAAATGTGACAGACTTTAAATAATTTATGCTCTGCTTTCCACACATTAAGAGAAGCTAAAACCTTCTTTACTCCAGAAACAGAATTTAGAAGATAAATTAAGGTCACCTAAATGTAACATCAAGATAAGAACATTTCCCTCAAAACTCATATATATATATGTTTTAATGGTATAACCAATATGCGTCAATATTATCAAATAAGATTACCTGGAATTATGAAGTGGTAGAATTTTTCCATCAGTTTTTGAATAAGTTGATTAGCTTTTTTTATTCTGCCACCACCATCACTAAGGAATTCTAGCTTGCTTAAGCCAACTTCAAGAAGATACATTCCAACCTGTGAATGTAGTTTTTAGATGAATTTTGGAACATGCAAGAAAAGGAGAAAAAAATGTGAGAAAAAGATCATAAGCTTACTGGTGACTAAATTGGAATTTTAAACTTGCTTACCCATGAGCAACCCCCACTGAATTTAATAGGACTTACTTCCAAGTAAACATGGCTAGAATTGCAGAGTTCATAGGCGACCACCCTTGGCAACTTGAGGCTGAAGGACCAAATTATATGTATGTGGGAGATCCATTATTAGATTTTCCATTATAATTATTTTCCCGTAAGCACAGCCATGGATCAAAGCAACAATACTCAAGGAAAAGCAGTCTACCCCATCCCCAGATGCCTTATTTTATTTTTTGCTTGCTTCCTTTATATCCCACCTTTCCTCTAAGAAGCTCAGTGGCACACATGGTTCTCCATCTCTCCATTTTATCCTTATAACAACCCTGTGAGGTAGGCTAGGCTGAGAGACATTGACTGGCCCAAGCTCCCCTAGCGAGCTTCATGGCTAGAACCCTGGTCTCCCAGCTCTTAGTCAAAAACTGTAACCAATACATCTTTCAGCCAACTGCTGTTTGACGTGTGCCCAGATGCTAGATAGCAGACAGTGCAAATAAATGACATTTAGAACTCTGAAAATAATCCTACTTCCCTAATAACATAAACCTTCAGGTATGAAATGTCAGTGCTCTCTGGGGGAGTCCAAAGTCCATCAGATATAAGCCTTAGTCAAGCATAAATTGTGGATTCTACATGTAATCCTGATTATAATGTTATATTTGACCCCAAGTGGTTCAGATAACATTCCATGGTATGAGTAAACTACAGCTTCCTGGATCCTAGGATGTGCTAAACTAAATCTTACCAAAAAAACTACCTATAATGTTCATGTTGCAGGCATGACTTTTAATATATTTAATGGCTAACTTTTAATATTCATTGGACCAATCTTACATTGCAATCCTACACATATTTAGGATTATGTGCATAACGAACTCAATGGAATTTAGTTCTGAATAAATATCCATGACAATATTGTTAATGTAAATAGAGACAATTCTCTGAAAATCAAACAGAAAGGGTATTCTTTGAATCATATTATGGTGCTGCCAGATGTTCACGTAATATGTTAATTCCAAGTACGAAATAAATGGCTTATTCTTAGCAATTAGGAAGTCTTATTAATTACGTAAATCAAGTACCTTTAAGCACTGGCCATCTCCGGATCTTTGACAAAGTACAATTACTCTCTTCTTTTGCAGCCACATCAAGTCTTCTAACATTTCATTACTTAAAGATGATTCAACTAACACGTCTTCTTGGTAAGTGTTCTGTAATGATTCTTCCCTCTCATCCACCTTCTCAACGTTCTTTTGCATGAATACAGATACGCAAATGATCACTAGGTTCTGCTCTCATCAATGTAAAACTCTTTTTATGGACATTCTCACTTAGTTGTTGACCAGGAAGAGGTTGCAGAATGAACTCTCCAAGCAAGGCTTTCCAGTTAGAATCAGAAATATAAGGAAATATCACAACATTTAGCTGTATGGATATGGAAGTCAAGAGATGGCAGGAATCTTCTGCTTCATCCAAAATGGTTGAGAAGCTCAATGATTTTAGGTTGTTTACTTTGAGCGTTGAAACTTCATCAGTGCTATCATCATTTCTAACAACATGTGCTGTAGAAGATGAGCTTGTACCTGCAAGAGGTTGGTCTTCCTCCACTGCATCCAAATCCATCACTTCATTTTTACGGTCATCATGCATATTCCAGCAGAGCTGCTTCTTTTTCTCATCATTCATCCTCGATGGAGGAGCACGCTTTCGACGGCCACTCATTTTTATGTTTCACTAGCAGTGTTTAATCTCTGTAATACAGATTGACATCCATTTACATTTCTGCATGGATTAGTATACTTTGGTTTGTTAACAAGAAAGGCCTGATTCAAATGTATAGGTAACAACCCATAGTTTACTGAACAGAGAATGAGTGCTGTGCCCCATCTCCTCTCTCTGTCTCTCACCCACCCACGAAAGAATATTCTGGGGTTTGATCAGAAACTGTTGTTTAATCTCTAACTGCAAATGGTTTCAAGGCAAGAATGATAAATAGTAGCATGTGAAGGAGCCACAACACTTGTCAAAATTATATAGACACATCTAAAATGTAAGTAAAAAGTAAATATATCTTAATCAGTTTATGCTTACAACAACAATATTTTGACAAGTTAAATATTCCTCCCTCCAAATTTGTTTTCTAACTCTAAATATAATTCAAAACATTACCATCTCTAAAGGGTGAATTCACCAGTGGATCTGTACCCTTCATCTCGAAACATAAGACTATTTAATTCAAATATCTTAAGGGCTGTCACATGGAGGAGGGAGCATGCTTGTTTTCTCCTGCTCTGGAGGGTAGGACTTGAACCAATGGCTTCAGGTTACAAGAAAGGAGATTCCAAATAAACATTCGGAAAAGCTTTCTGACAGTAAGAACTGTTCAGCAGTGGAGAGATGGTGGACTCTCCTTCCTTGGAGGTTTTTAAACAGAGGTTGGATGGCCATCTTCATGGATGCTTTAGCTGAGATTCCTGCACTGCAAGGGGGTTGGACTAGATGACCCTTGGGATCCCTTCCAACTCTAAGATTCTATGAACATGAGAGATTTGCTTTAATCACCAAGTTAATATGACAGCGAGGACCAGGCGCATGAATACCTGCTGATTAACAACTTAAAAAACCACAACCCTGTTCCTCAGAAAGCTTCTATCTGGGCATTCGTTCAGAATTTGCCTTATGTCACCTTATACTACAACACACCCTCATTGCCTTAAAGCTAAAATATTTGGACAGATGAGGGATGGAGGCAGAGATGAGGGATGCAGGCAGTATTTTTAAATCTTCATGAAAGGCCTATTAATGTTGGTAGCAACACATGACATTTTGTCTCAAGGAGGAAATCAGCCACACAATCAAACCTATTCCAAAGGGGTAGCTGTGTTACTCTCTTGGAGCAAAACACACCAAAAGCCTTGTGGCATCTTAAAAGATTAATAATTACAGCATAAACATTTATAGACTACAATCATGAAACTAAAAAACTTTACTCTAGACCATAATAAATTTGATGGTCTTTAAAGTGCCACAAGACACTTTGTTGCATATACTATCAACCATATTTGCACTTAACAAATGAAAGCCATAATTAATACATCTACTTCAAATACAGTAAAGAAGTTATGCCACAGATACAAACTGAACTTGATACATATTTGCATTATATTATCTACAGATGACCAAGAACTCTGGGACCCATCTGTTACTCAGGACATTTAATCCACATCAGCTGACAGGAAGTGAAATGGGCAAAGAATCCATATGCGCACATTCAAAACCATGTAATCTGGATTCCTTACTAAACTGTGTAAATTATGCTACCATATTTCAAAGTGGAGTAGACACTGGGCAAAGACAGTGGGGTATTCCCCTTCTTCCACCTCACTGTATGCTTATAAACAAAGATGCTACGAATATTCTACGATTGTTTCCAACAGATAAATCACGAATACAATAAGCTCTGGCTGTACATGCACATGACATACCAGAAAAGGATTTTTTGTTTTTTGAAGGAGAGAGAAGATTAGCGTGCTCCTCCCAACAACTTATAAGAGGGCCTGTTGGGGGGGGGGAGTGAGATACAAAACCGCAAGAGAATTATTCATTATATTGTGCATATTATAAGAATATGTAGATACAGTAATAGGGATACCAACAAGGCCAAGGCGCCCCTAACAACCCCCCTCCATTAAGGCCTATTGCACGTCATAGACCAACGAAGAAGCTGTCTCTCCCTCTATATATAAAACTATAAACACACACACGTGTGTGTGTAAGTGTGTAAGCGACAGGTGGGGGCGAAGCCGCTAACTGCAACCTCCCACCCGCTGCTGCTTCTCAGCCTGACTTACCTGAGAGGATTGGAATCAGCTCCTTGGGGCTCCTCCCCGGTTTCCCCTTCTGGGCCCGGCGGCGGCGGCGGCGGCGGCGAGGCTGGCAGAAGAAACGAGCTCCTGAGCAGCTCCAAGGAGCGCAGCGACCATCCTTGAACCAGGAAGAGGAAGACGAAGCGAAGGGAGGGTGGGGGGAGGGGAAAGCCAAACAACAACAAGATTCTCCCCTCAAAGTTCACCCGCCGGACGGAGGAAGGAGGCGGAAGCCGAGAGTGACGTGAAGGCCCCGCCCACTGCCCCTCTCGCGCTAGCACGCGCCTCCCCCCCCCCAACGACAGGGAAGCGGCGAGTGTGCGCGTGCGCGGTGCCTTCTTTTTCTAAACCAGCGTATCCGGTGTTTCTGCGGGGAGGACAAACGGAGACGGTTGTGGAACAGCTGCTGTAGGACCCGTTACATCCCAGATTAGGTTGCTGTGATGGGTTTAACCAGGATTAGTTTGGGGCGTGTTGCTTGGTCTTGAGGTTTGGCGACGGTCTTGAGTCTTATTTTAAAAATATTATTTTTACAAAAACCCAACCCCTGTCTTTTCGACTTAAGTTAGATGCAACTTTTTAAAGATCTTGTAGTGTGGCGAACACTTTGGAACTCCTTGCCTATTGAAACCAGGCAGGTGCCTTCACTGTACTCTTTTTGGCACCTTCTGCTAAAGACATTTTTGTTTAGGCGAGCCTGCCCATGCATCCAGTCTGCTTGTGTGCTTTTATATTATTAGTGGTTTTAATTGTCTTAATTATTCTTACCAATAATGTTATTTTTTTTTTTAATTTGGTTTGGGAAATGTTTAGGATTTTTTTTAAAAAAACCAACAACAACAGCAATGAAGCTATATAGAAATTTTATGAAACATATAAATAAATAAATAAAATTGGGGTTCCACAGCAAAATGGATCCAACAAGCCAGAAGTTTGCCCACCTTGGTTCATAAGAGGAAGAGAAAGCAGGTCAGCTGGCAGAGATAGCTCTTTTGCCTGTTTCTGGCTCCCTGCTGCTGAGCCAAATCCTTGCTGCTGCACCACCCAAAGAGAAAGGCCAAGCAAATAAAGGGAAGCAGCAGAAACCATCCCTGGCTGAGCGATCCTAAGGAGGCAATGGCTGCTGCTGCCCTGAACCTAGAAAGGAGGGGGAGTGGAAGTTTGAGGACGGCAGGGAAGCATGCAGGCAGGTCCTGCCTCTTCTCTCTTGCCCATCCTTGCTGGTGCCCACCTGTCAGTCATGTGGTATCATCACAACAAGCTGAATAATGTTTTTGCAGAACTGAAACTGCAATGGAATGGAAGCAGTGCCACATGCACTGGATACAGAGCAAAATGGAAGATGATGGATTATCACAAGTAGACGCAGATCTAGGAGAAGTTCCAGTAGTAAAGTGTCTGTGCAAATGCAACCTTGGTAGAACATCAAGGGAACATTGCAGGAATATTACGGTGTGGTTGCAGGTGGACATGATGTCACAAGTACTATGACCACCTTGCTGCATTCAGTAAGTTTCACTAGTTAGGAACATAGCCTTATACTGAGTCAAACCATTGGTCCATCTCGCTCAGTATTGTCTGCATCATCCCTGGCCATTGGCCATGCTGGCTGGGGCTGATGGAGTCCAACAATATCTGAAGGGCCAGAGGTTAACCCCCTCTGATCTGCACTTACTGGCAGTAACTGTCCAGAGGTTCAGACAGGGAATATTCCCAGTTTTACTTGGAAATGGTAGGGAATCTTGGGTTTCTGGCATACAAACCAGAAGCTCTGTTGCTAAGCTACAACCCTTTCTGCAGTTACTGAATAGGAACCATTAATTTTACAAGTTGAATTCAACTTTTAATAATTTCTTTTTTAAAACTACAACACCTTAATGAAAGATTAGAAGACAAATACAGCTAGTTAATGTTGACACTACATAACTGCAGTGACCCAACACACTCAGTTTTTTTCCAAAGAAGGCGTTTAATAACGTCTACCTGTCTGCTTCAGTAGAACAGCTTTGACACCTTTCAAGGCTCACAGGGATATGGCGATAATTATTTAATTAAAGTGTGCAAAAGCTTGTGAAGATTTGCCGACAAGTACATAGCCCAGCATAAATGAGATGTTTTACTACAACAGACTATAAAACTATTCAAGAATAAAGTTGCTGTACTTAAGTTTCAGATCAGTGAAGAAGAGATCAACTTTATATAACCCAGTGGGAAAATTACCTCCAGAGGATTTTACACCTTCATTTCCTTCCTCCAGTTTAATTGCTTATGTTGCATGCTAACACGCCAGACATCACAGAGGATTTCTGGTAATGTTCATAATGTTCTTTTACACTAAGTAATGATCCTATATGGCTGGTCTGAGAGTGAAAGATCCAGATTATTTGGGGCAATGTTACTTAGCGGGACACTTAAGGCTTTTCAAGATGACCCTAAAGGTGGGTGTATTGCTGTGATAACACAGAGAGTAATATACGCTGATGGAGCTAAACTCGGTAGGGTAATAGGGCATGTCTGCTTTGTGGCTTTTCAGTACCCATCTCATTATAAATAAATATTTCAAAGTATACAGGGGTGAGGAACCTGTCACCATCCAGATGTTATTGGACTCCAACTCACATCAGCCCCAGACAATATGGCCAGTGGTCAGGGATGATGTGAATTGTAATGCAGCAACATCTAGAAGACCATAAATTTCCTATCCCTGGTATAGAGGATTTCACTGGCAGTTGACTCTCTGATGAACAGAGGCCAAAATTCTTTCAGATACCCAGACAATCAACACATGCGCCCATGCTACACTGAATTTCTATCCCTTATTTGAAATGTCTTTGCATAATGTTATTAATACAGAATTTCACTGTGGTAGCTGCTGACAGGCAATAGCTCTGTCTTACAATGCTACTAATTTGTCTTTTAATGCTGGTGAAATGCCATATGCTATGACAATAGGGGAGTTCAGATAAACATTAAAAGAACATGTGAGGAGCTTGTGCACAAGATAGCCCTGATGTCAACACACCCAGTGGCTCCATCCTTACCACCCACATGTCCTACATGTGTGAGAAGAAGCTCTCTGTGTGCACCAGTATATGCATGCAGAGAGCCTACACACATGGCGATCCAAATGGGCCCAGGATTTTACTCCCAGATTATCCTTAATTAACTGCATGGCTGACATTCGCTATCGTGGGATCCGCTGTTCACCATGGCGGCAGCACCGGAATTGATTTCTATGAAGATTTGAACCCCATAATGGTGCTATTACGATTAGGAGAATAATTCCATCCTTCGGTCTGAAAAGTTATGGTTTAAAAATTAATTCACTTTCGAACTAAGTGAAAAAGAAAGAGTACTTTAAAGGAAGGCCTTCTATCTAATTAAGTGGTCCTATTTCATTTCTGAAACAGCAATCATGATTTCATTAGGTGAAGAGTTAACTATCTCTTGAGTAGTGTGTGTGCTTTATGCTCAAGAGCATTTTGGCTTTAGATAACTGAAATACTAAGCCAGCCCATAAAGTGCCGCTGGAAAGCATTTTATACCCCTGAAAATGTGGCTGCAAAGCCAATTTAAATTCTCTGGAGTCTGTGGCTGCTCAGTATACATGTCACTGTTGTGAAGGGAGCAATATATTATTCCAGTAGCTGCCAATTTGGAACACCCTAAGGAGGGTGTAGTATATTATTCTGCTAGCTGTCAGTTGGGAATACCCCAGAGACAGAGAGGGTCTGCTTCAGATTGCGAATGAAGATACCATTTTTAAATGTTCCTTTACATTTTAAAAAAATTGATACCTTCACCTGCATTTTGAAGTGGTACAGTCCATTCTATTACCCCAGAATTTTACCACTAAATTCTGCTGCATAAACCAGGCTACATAATTGTCCCTTAATGGTGGTTTCTCTGGACAGTGATCAATTTCCTCCTCACCTCCACCTATCCCTGAATGCTAAAACAAAATTCTTCAACTTCTTAAACTTACTCGCTAAATGTTATGGTGTCATGTGACTCAGGGTTTCTCAGGGTCTGAGGCTGTGGATACAGAGGATACCTTCGACTGTGAGGAGGATTTCCCCTCAGAACCAGTCTTGGTTGTTCCTGTCTCCTCAGGTGTTACATCACCAGAGGAGCAGGTGATGCCTGCACTTCTCCAGCCCCAAGAGGTCGCACTGCCTTTCTCAGACTCTAAGGGTGACAGCTCAGAGATCATAGAAGAATCCTGGGCTGCTCTGAGCTGCCAGAGTCAATGGCTCCCAAACAAGATTCCAACCACCAGGGGTGAGGCTGGCTACTCAGTGGAAGCTGCAGTCCAGTTAAGGCTAAATCTGACTTTGCTGGTTGTTGGAGCAGCATTCAAGACCGTCTTGTCAAACTTCCAATCTATGTGACTTGGAGCTATCCAGGGTGCTAACTGCCTTTGCCTTGACCCCTTATCTGCTTTTGCCTGATATTGCTTATCTGTACTTAACTGCCTCTGCTTTGTCTGACTTTGAATTGGCAGATTTCTGCTTGACCTCAGTGAAGGACCCTCAGTGAGAAACAGTGTGAACATCTTCCAGGGTGAGAAACTGGGAGAGAAAAGGAAACCCAGGCGAAAGCTCGGAGTGTCTGCTGTTTTCTGTGTGGGGCTGGGATTAAGAGCTACTTTGGACAGAGAGACAATTGTGAATTTGTGCACTGTTTTTGTATTTTAGATACCTGGCTGATGATGTTCTCCTTCCTTTTTGTTTGTGCTGTTGCTGTTATGAGTATCTGTATTTTATCTTTTTTAAAAAAATCTATATTCGATTACGTATTTTTTATGACAATTGTTACCATTTTGATTTTTATATTGTACAGATATTATGTTATGTATTGACATTTGTGTTCTGTGTTTTAAACTACCTTGTGCTTTTTCTTTGAAGGGTGGTATATAAAATACACATAATAAGGGTGATGTGTGTGTGTGTATAAAACAATACTAATAATATCAACATCAATAGCAAAATAACAATAATATAGTATATATTTGAATTGGCTTCTCCCATCCTAGCATGACACCACACCACCACACTGATGCTATGCATGGGTTGTGCCCATAATTAATCTTAAATGCATGAAAACATTGTGTGAGTTGGCTAAGCTCATCTTTTTCCATCTCCACTGTGGTATTAAATCGGTTTTCTCTCAAAAAACTGCTCTTCAGCTCTGTACAGGCAGCACACAGGTGTCTTAACATATTTTTCATGTACAATAAAAATGTGAACAGACTGAGTTTCTCTTCTGCTGTCAACACAGCACTGTGCATTCTGTGTTAATGTCCAAAACACTTCCTCCGCAGCACCACCCCGCGATTCTCTTTCAGGAACATGACATGAAAACATCATGTCTGCATGACATGAAAACATCACAAGTCTGTACATACTCCCTGGATGGGATTGAAAGGATTTATTTAGTTATGTTTTAAAGCTTCCGTTTGTTGCTTCAGACAATTGTAGATGGAAGATTATATTCAGTATAAGAGGCACCAAAGGCCATTGGGAGGCTTCTAGGAAGAACCTTGTGGCAAGGGGGAGGCCAGCCTGGCCCCATCCGCTGGTCACAGAAGGAGCTTGCTTTCTCCTCCATGCCAGAAAGAACACTCCGCTCCAACTTCCAGTCTGCTTTAGTATTGCAGTAGCAAAATGAGAGGACATTCTGGCCCCATCCATTGAGAGCCATCAACTGCTATTCAAGCAAGAACACTGGCCAGCGAAGATCAACTATAAATTGGTGACTATAAATGCCTGGTTATGGCCCACTGCTTCAGTCTGGCCTTAAGGAGTTGATGTTCCATTTCTCTTTCTTTTCCATCCACTTCTTTTCCCTTGTGGGTCTTTGTGTGCCTGATGGCAGTGCTCCTCTACTCTTTTAAATTGATGCAAGCTGCTTTGGGAGAGAATAATTGCCTGAAAAAGAGGTGGGTAGGTTAAAAATATGGTTAAATAAATAAGCAAACTGTTTTGAATGCCACTGAATCAGCGAGTCTATGAGTGAACGTCAAACAATAGAGATTAAATGTGATATGAGAGGATACTATTTTGTTGAATTGCTGCTGGAAAGAAAACAGGACCTAAACTGCTATAGTTAATGCAAGAAATGTATGGTCTAATGAAGCCCCAGTATAAAGTATACATTAATATTCCTTTTAGGTAGTCAAATGTCATGAGGGCCAATGTCAGTGAGTAAAACAGGATACTGCCTCATAGCAGATCAGCCGCAAGGGGAAAAAGTGGGGGTGATCATAAAACTACATGAATTTTTCATGTACAGTTAGATAGTTTGTTATTTTAAGTTCTTCTAGCTTTCTATGTCTTCCCATAATATCTGATTTAATCTTAACAGGTAAATTTTAAAAGCTAGGGTTCAATTTCTCAATCAAATAATCATGAAGAGAGGTAACAGCCCTGCAAAATACCAAGAGAAGGATGAAGTTACTAAAAACAAAACCCCACGATCTCTCTAAATATTGGCTTAAAAAAAAATAAAATCTCTCCAAAAATACTGGAGAATTCTCAAGAAAAAAAAATAGGTACAGTACATTTTCCTCAGTGCATGGAAATGAGACACAGTTTTCTCCGATAATAAGTGCTTTGCAATTTGAAAAGTGTAGCTATTTCAGTTGTATTCATGAGGCAATTACCGTATTCATGACCACTAAACAAAATGAACCAAGGAAGCACAGGGTTCCCTCCCGCTTTTTCATACTGTAAACTTTTGAAGGCTCATATTTTAAATGCATATCTAAAACACATTGATTTAATCAAAAGTTTAATTTATTTTCCAAACTGGGCTACCAGGTTACAAATAGAGCAGCTCTGCTGTATTTGTTATGCTGCTCAAGATTGAATGAGGTGCCTTAGACTTTTGCAACCTCATTTTTCAAAAATAATGGGAGTACTGGATGGTCTGCACTTGAATTTCTGATATAATTTACTGTCACGGCCTTGGGAAGGGGCTCATATCAGAGCAGCCCCTGGGTGGCAGCATCTGGACAGATGTGTCACCCACCAACACAAACCCACAAGCCTGTCTTGATTGTGATGACTGCAGATTACGAAGAATTTATTTAGCAAGATTAGTTAAAGGAATATGACTTTCATTTCTCAGTAGATGGGAAATATCATTTAGGAAATGCTGGATCCTTGCTTTCTTTAGTGAACTTGCTTTGTGCTGTGTGATAGGATACAGGGAGGGCGGAAGTATCTCTGCACTAGTAGTAGCAGGCCATTAGTGGCCTGTTTTGGCTTTGACTTGGGGAGACTGATCTCCTCCTTTGCTGAGTTGGTCAGGTTAAGAATATAAGAAGAGTTCTGCTGGATCAGACCAGTGTCTCATTTAGTTCAACATCTTGTTCTCACAGTTGCCAACCAGATGCCTATGGGAATCCCACAATCAGGACCTGGTTAAGTTCTTAAGGGAGGAGTTGGACAGGTCTAGAGAGATAACTTCTCCCTTCTGGTCTTTGGTCTGCCTATCCTTTGGTCCTGCCTATCTCCAAGTAGGGTTGAGACATTCTCCTGCCTGGTACCTGGCCTGGAGAGCCACTGCCAGTCAGAGTAGATAATACTGAAGTAGGGAGACCAACAGTATGATTTGATAAAAGGCTTTAGCAGACCCAACCATTGTTGTAATGCCCTGCCTGCCTTGCTACTGCTAAGCTAGAATAAAGCAAGTTGTGACCGACTTCTGCCCTTCTGCCATCAAGGATGTCCTGTGTAATTTCTTTCCTCCATCTAGCTACTCTCCTCTTTGCCATTGTACAAATAACAATATGGGTGAATCGAGGGGATATTTGAGCCAGTTCAAATATTCGTTTGTTTTCCCCATTTGCATCCCATTTTCCAGCCTACAGGCATCTATTTATGTATTAAACATGTTGTTACCAAGGGGATGCAGTACAAACCTTACATACCCCCCTAAAATGCAAGGAAGGGGGGTTGCTTGGTTGAATGCATTTCCACGCTCAAGCTTCCCATTATATGTAAGACTAATATATCAGGCAGAAGGCTTCCAGTCTAGCTTTCCCTCTAATGCCTTAGCTTTACAAATAAAGGACATTTTTGCATAGGCACATTAATTCAAGTATGTGGTTCTCTTCGAACTCATAAAAAACTAGTGTTATCTTGTGCACCTTCAAGATTGTTGTGATCTAAGCTCTCCCAGTGTGAGCCAACCAGTCTTATCTATCCAAGCTTCTCTCTGTTGGATATTGTAAGAACACTATGACTCTAAGATTTAAGTGTGCATTGAAAAACCTTCCCTTTAGCTACCAAACTTGGATCTTAACTAACCCTCTGCTAATGAAAGGGCTGTTTACATTCATGGAGGGAGCTGGTATCTAGCAGAGTATGGGGTGGTATGGCATTTTTTTTTGCTCACCTCTCCTTTCCCCAGCAGTTGCGCAATGCTGCTGTGGAGCACCATTCATAACTCTCTGCGGGAGATTGGCAGGGGGAAAAGGGAGTTTACTGAAAGTCACTTTTCCACTTCCATTAGTGAGAGAGTCTCGTGATCAGAATTCCACTCACCTGACACTCCCACCTGCAGAAGCTTGCTTAGGCTGCACTCCAAATCCCACTTTCCTGCAAATAAGCCCCTTTAATTTAAAGAGCACTTCTTTCTGAGTAGACATCGTTAGGGTTGCAACCTTAGGATCTAAGTCAATGACTTGTGAGCAGAGCAAGGTGCTTCAGGAGGTGGCGCATGATTGCATGGTCCATGATTAGCTAGAACTCCCAAGGAAGTTGGTGTTCAGTTCAAATATGACCCAAGACATATGACCCTGAGACTTTTCCATATTAAGCTCAGAGTGGAGTTATGTTAGAGGGTCGAGGTACATTCCACAAGTGAAAGGACTTTCAATGGGGTTATGCTGTTCATATCAGTCACAATTCCAAAATGTCAACATGCTCTTTTTTCATAACCCTTTCTAAATTCCCAATATTTTATTTTGTTTGTTTTGCTTTTTAAATCAGCACTTAAACAACAACAACATAAGCCTTTTTAAATTGTAGGAGACAATAGGGAAGTGTAGGGAATGTAGGGGAATTGGATGACCCTTTCTGACTTTTGTGATTCTGTGTGCAATATATAGAAATGAAAAACTAGATATGGCAGGATACTGAGGGGTGCAAAGAGCAGCTGCTAAATATTTGATGCAGGCATTCTCTTCTGTGCTAAAGTTACTCATTGGTTGGGGATAGGAGGGGGAATAAGTCCCAACTTTTGCAGCAAATGGGGTTTTGTTGTTCGATGTCAACAATATGGAATGAGGGACTTTGATAACTAGTCCCAGATATATTTCATGGCAGGTTGCCAGAAGAGAGAGTGGCTGGCCTGATCTCTGTTGCCGCTTGAGTGCCATCATTGCTAATGGCCAGAAGGCAGTTCTGTAGCTATTTAGTCAGCAGAGGTAAGGTGACATAAGGGGCCAATGTTGATTCCAACTGGCACTTTAAAAAGCCTCTGATTCTGCTTTGACAACCCATCCTTTGGGTAAAAATCAAGCTTTCTTCAGACTCTCCCTACAGGCTTTGCTGGCTTTCAGCTCCCAATCCACCCACCTGTCAGCCCAGCTATGCACTAATTCATTTGGCTGCCAGCTTTATCCATGAGCTTTATTGCACCTTCTCCAGACTGCCAGCGCCAATATTTGTAAAAGAAGATCACAGGCTGTGTGGAGTGCACCACCCGTGATCCTCCAGATGCTGCTGAAGTACAACTTATATCAGCCCTAGTCAGCATGGCCAATGGTCAGAGATGATGGGAGTTGTACTTCAGCAACAACTAGAGGGTTGTGGCTTAGCCACCCCTCTTATTGTCATTAATGCAAATATATTAAATGAAACCTGTGGCAAACTTCCACACCGTTCTCACACACGGAAAATTTAATCAATTTCAGTGGCATTATTAGAACTGCAGCCTTATTTTAAAATGCTCGCATGGCTTCCAATAACTCATTGAGTTCTGCGTTCATTTCAGAGCATCGTATCTTCATGGTTTGTTGGGCTACCTTTGCACTTAGCAGTAAAGCTTAGTAGCACACAGCATACATTAGATGTGATTCTCAAATTGGCAGCCCGTTGGATAGTCTCATATGCCCAGGGCAGAATATCATCCACACCAGGCTCTTGGTTTAAAGTGAAATTACCCTTAATGATGAAAGTAACTTTTGTTTCGGGTTTGAAAGAAGCTCAGGATTCTGTCACATTCATTAAATGAACCACAGGAGACACATCTCAGAATGGGCAAATTGGAATCAAAATGCTAGCACTTGTCAGCAACCTGGCTGCAGCATTTTGTCCCAAATGCAGTTTCTGAACACTTTTCACGGGTAGCCCCACACAGTAATCCAGTAATCCAGTGTAGAGGATGAGACTACATCAGTACCAATATAGTGCCCTCTGGATGTCGTTGGACTCCAACTCCCATCATCCCTGACTATTGACCGTGCTGCCAGGGGCTGATGGGAGTTGGAGTCCAACAACAGAACCTAATAATTTGTGTCAAACCAAGTCAGATTAACAGTCAAACTGGCTCTGTTGTTTTTTTTTAACACTAACTAGTGGCAACTCTCCAGGGTTTCAGGGTGAGGTCTTTCCAGGCCTACCTTAACATTCTGGAAATTCAAGGTGGGACCTGTTTGCCAAGCAGATGCTCTACTACAGAGCTATGACCCTTCTGCATACACCTAGAAGGTACCATATTGGCATCCCTTTCACAACTGCATGATTGACTGTTTAATCTGGATCGAACCTCTACCACATCTAGTCCTTCACACTCAGGGGCTGGCATATAGATACAGGTATGGATAAAATACTGTGACAAATGCAGGCAATTCCTGAGGTAGTACATCTGGATGAACATAAACTATGCATTGCTTGGGAGAGACTAAAGCCCCT